ATGAACAATGATCGAAGCATCACTGCGAGATGGACCTGATATGTATTTAAAATGCGTAGCTGTCTGCACCTTCCGCACTGGTTGCATTAAGGCTTCTCGAACAACTATGGATATATCATAACCAGAAAATCCTTCGGTTTTTTCAGCCAATGTCTATCACAATACAAACAGGATCATCAAAGAAAAACTTTCGACAAAAAACAAAAAAAAATCAATGAGCAGATGATGATATAAAATTTAATCAATTTACCAAAGTTAAGAAATTATTTTGCAGACAATTTAGAATGTTCATTTAAAATCCTCAAAGTTTCACCAACTGCCTTTAAAATAACCTTAAAATCTTGTTCAGTCAATGAATGATTGGTATTTTTTCCAATATGCAGCTTGAACATATCCTTACGTGCATTTGCTTCGGGAAGAGGAATATATATTCGTTTCTGAAAATTCTCTAATGAAATGGATCAATGAACAACCATCACCATAAATATCCAAAAATCTAAAAATAAACATAAAATTGAAGATAAAGGATTATAAAAACTTATAAACAGAGCGACTGTAATTAGCCTCTGAAGAATGATGGAAGGATGATTTAAAAAATGAGAAAAAAAAAACAACAAATTGATCAGAATATCAATTTTTCTTTTTCAAATGCATTGAAGAAGGAAGAATTACTTCAAAACGGCGACGAATGGCTGCATCAAGCACCCAAGGAATATTTGTGGCCCCAAGTACGAGGATACCTTCGCAATCATTTCCTACACCTTGCATTTGAACAAGAAATTCTGTTTTTATACGCCGTGCAGATTCACTTTCAGTATCCGAACGTGATGAACAAAGCGAATCGATTTCATCGATAAAAATGATCGATGGCCGATGTTCTCGAGCCATTTCGAATAACTGTTTCACCAATCTATAAAAAGAAAATTTCTAACATTAAAGATTATATCAATAAATGAAGAAAACAATGAATCCCCTTGAAAAAACAAAACCTTTCTGATTCTCCAAGCCATTTCGACATTAAATCAGATGAAGAAACTGAGAAAAATGTAGAATTATTTGCCTCGGTCGCTACTGCTTTTGCAATATATGATTTTCCAGTGCCAGGCGGACCGAAAAGCAGAATTCCTCGCCATGGTTTTCGATTTCCTACAATCGCATTTTTAAAAATAAGTCATGGAAAGAGTCATAAGTTAAAATATGGAAAAATATAGATTTCATAAGTATTATTTGTAAAAATTTATAGCATGCAAATATCTTTTATATATTTAAATAAATAAATTTAAATAATAAGTGCCAGCGAAAATTTTTTTCAAATAAGAAAGAGAGAAAGGAGAAAGTTAAAAGCATCGCTATATATTTAAAGTTGAAGCTTTTGAAGCCCTCTAAATTCAATGTACTTAAATAATTTAAAATATGATTAGTGATAATAATTACAGCAATTGAAAATAAAGATAATAGCAATGATAATAAAAATTAGCGCATAAAAACATCGAACTGAGCCTCTGAATATTAAAATGCAAAGCATTTTTCAGTGAATCCAATTTCTGTTCGATTTCTCCCATTTTCATTAGGAAAGAGAAAAAAAATCAAAGAACTGGGAATTATAGCGACAAAACGAAAGATATTTATGGGAAGATCGATATTTCTTCACTGCTGAAGCATTTCTGCTTGCCTCGAGCTAAACCATCCATTAATAAATAACAGCAGCAGCAGCGTGCGAGCTCATTGCCTTAGAATTTCACTATTTGAATTTTTTTTCGCCTTCAATTATATTTTCTTTTTTTAAAGATTTTTTCACAATTTTTCACCTATTGAGAACTATTAATTAATTCTTTCAATAATATTTTAATTGGAAATTCTAAAAAACCCAAAATGAATAACTATTTATTATTTAATTTAAAAGTTTTTAAAAAATTCAAAAAGTTTTTAAAAAGAAATCTTTCCTAAAGTTTTTAAATGATTTTTAATAAGCGACGAATCTATAGGCAATAATCAAACGTATTTTATATTCCAATATTTTCATATTCCAATATTTCGAATTGAAAAAATCAAAAATATACAGAATTTTTCCAATTTGTTCACTCATTTTACTCGTAAAATGAAAAGATGATAACTATTATCAAAACTTCTTTCGTTGTATTTATAATCACCAAAAAATCAAATCAAAAGACGAAAATTGACCGATACAAAACAAATGGCCATTTAAAAAACATTAGAAAAGGAAAAACGGCGAATCGAATAAAATTCCATTGCTCATGAATAGTCCAAGAATTTATTTTAAGAGTATATATTATGTTTCTTTTCATTTCTTCATATAAGTGATCTCTAAGGATATCCAATTCACTAAAACCGACTTTTACAGCGGAATTTCTGTTTAATTTATCTTGGATTTGATCCGGAAAACTCCGAGAAGTATAACGAAATAATTTCAAATTTACAAACAGTATAGCTACTGCTGATGTATCGAATTATGTTATCAAAACCTCGTTCTCTGTATTTAATGATTGTCGATTTTTAATGGAACATAAATTATTGTAATGTACCTTACAAATGATTCTGACTGGTTACTTCATCCACTAAACATAACAACAGAACCATTACTTATTCTCGGTCTAACTTTTAGTTGCATTAGCATTTTAGCCTTAACTGCAAATTTTGCATTACTTGTTTATATCATATCACATCGTCTCTATCGCAACTTTATATCATCACATTTCATTGCGCATTTGTGCATTACTAATGCTGTCGCTCTATGCATATTACTGCCAATGTTTATATATGCCGTATGGACAGGTCGCAACCTATGGGCATATAGTAATTTAATGTGCCGAATACAGGTAAGTAAATAACCACAATTACTAGGCATCAGACATTAAAAATACTGAAAAAAAAACGAAAAAGTGAACTAAAACGAAAAGATTACTGGAATCACTGGTTTCATAATAATCTGCACAAGAAAATTTTTAAAAAAATTAAAATTTTTTAAAAAAAATTAATTAATGGCTTCAGAAATTTCTCAAACAAAGAAGTAAATAATAAAAATGAAAAAGCAAATTTAGCCTAGCATTAAATCTAGAACGGAATTAAAGAAATCATACTTGGAAATGTTTTTAAAGTAATGAATAACTTCAGACGCTGCTAACATGTTCGGTGTGGACTGTTACTCATTTTATGGCTTTATGTATTGCTGGCGTTCACTTATTAACTTTCGCCCGAATACATTACGAACAACTGTTCGGTTTGCCACCTAATATGTTATGTGCATTGGCTTGGCTTATTGCTTTTGGTTTAGCTTTACCAACGATTACCAATGGACATATCGTTATTTATGATCCTGCTTTCCGACACTGCATATGGGGAAACAGGTTTTTTTCATAAATCTAAAAATTTTTTAGGGAAAAAGCTTAACAAACTAAGAAGGATAAAATAAATTTTACAGTGATAGCGGGTTAAAATTTCTTACTTATCAAATCATACTTGGCGTTTTTATACCAGCATCACTAGCATCATATGCTTATGTTCGAGTGCTCGGTATTCTTTATCACAGCCCGATTGTTTTTCAAAGTATTGGACTATACAAAAGCAGATTTCTGGTTTATGCATTCCTTCTCAGGTAATATTAGAAATTCAGCAAAGATCTACCACTTAAATTATTTTCTAATATAATAACAATTCTGAGATATTAAGAATCATATGTAGTAAATAGTGCATTTATTTATTCCTTTCTATGATTTAATTTATCTACAATAAATATCGCTATTATTAACTAAAACCAAAAATTAACTAATGATAAAAATCTAGAATTCTTACCCAAGAATATCGATAAAAGGTAATTAAAAATCAAAAGCATGGTTTCTTCTAAAAATGTGACATGATTCTTTTATGACACATTGTTTTCAGTCCTTTCTACCAACTTCCATTTTATTTGATCACGATGGTGCAAAAATGGCGAGCTATCACTTCAGTATTTCCAATTATTTTTATGTTTCTCGCATACACACAATGTATTGTCTCACCAACGCTTTATGGAGCTTCATTATTTCTTATGAAAGAAGAAGATATGGCGCTGACTGCTCGTGCTCATAAATCTCCAAACGCTCATCATTTAACACAACGTCTATAAATATTTTCAAATCGATTTTTTGATAATTTTTAAGATATTATCAATAATCGTGAATCAAAATCATCAAAAGTGATTTCCATTAGTATAAAATAAAACTTTTTTTTTACCGATTCGTTAACCACTTAACCATTTTAAACAGCAAAAATTTAAATGAAATAAAAAAATTGAGGAAACTAAATTATATTATAAAATCTTTGCAAAAGGAGGCAAAATAAACGATGAAGAATGAACCAATTATCGAGATGTAATTGATTATCACAAGATTGACACATTGGTTAATCTAGGAAGAACTTAATGCAAAAGAATAAAGAAATAATTGCATGCGCCTAAACAGCTTATTAGCCAACCATATCTACTAGATTTTCCATTCTAGTTCATATTTCTAAAAATATTTTATTTTAGAAAGAGAAGAATATTTTTTTTTTTTGGCTTTGACTATAATGAATGAGCTTGCGTTAGATTTGCACAAAAACAAAACAAACCAGTGAACAACTGGGGAAACTTGATTGGCAATATAACTGCTTCCTTTAGTGCTTCTTTTGCTCCTTCAAGCCCAGCGATATCTTCCCACTTTACATTGGGCTTCTCCATTACAATTGCACCCGATAACCTTTCTTGGAGCTTTTTATTTTCAGGATCTTTTTCAGAATCTGAATCCGAGCCCTTATTTCCAGCATCATCTTTAACCGCTTTTTTCTTATTGGCACCTGACTGCAAATAATGAATTGAAAATAAATTCCTTCCCTTTCTGTCAAGTATAATATGAAGTTACCTTAACTTAAATCTTGTGTTCCAGTTTTCCATAAAGAATAAAGTGCTTTGCATTCAATTTCTTAGTTACATATAATAATAAAAATTTTGCAGAAAAAGGAGTTTATAAAATTAATAAAATTAGAAAAATGTTAAGTCAACATAATTCTCATTAAAATTAATCAGTCGAAACTAATTATTTCATTTGTTCGGAATATAAAGGTTGGAATGAAGAATAAATGAAAAAATTTCTGCAAGAGAAACAAAGATAAACTGAAGACCGACGACCACTATTATATTGTAAATTTAAAGAAAAAAATATGATAAATAAATTATACAGCATATGTGAAATACAACACATAAAAATAGAAAATCAAAAAAAAAAATTGGATGCGAGTAACACTTTCGAGCTGAAAAAAGTAACCTTCAGGTATTCCTTGACTTTTTCCGCCCTATCCAAATACGATGAGCAACGCTGTCGAATTGTTTCTTTCTGTTTATCGCTTTGTGCTTCATCTTAAATTTAAAGGCTTTCGAGTTAAAAAAATAAATAACCAAATTAAAAATTTATTAAATTTAATCAAAAGACATTTCCCACTATATTTGGAATTAAAATGTACGTCACAATTTTCATTTTCGAATTTCTTTGGCGTATCAATAAATAAGTTTTATTTATAATTAAAAAATTTGAAGATCCCATCATGGAAAATCGTTTTATAAAGTTTTCACCAATTTGCCTTCCATATTCCACTAAATTTTTCATTAGGCTAAGTTAGGGAAAATTAAAAAAATATTACACTTGATGGCGTGAAGAAAATAGTCTATTCCATGTTCATACAAACGCAATGCTTCCTGGTAATTTTTCTTTTTGTCTTCTTCGGTTGCTTTTGTAACTAATTCGATTGCTTTCTGAAAAATTGACAAAATAAATCTATATCAGATATTTCTACCAAATAATTTATAAAAATCAATCTTTCTTCTTGCACTTGTTTTTGCGTTTTGTAGAAAAATTATGGAAAATTTAAGGACTAGAAATGAAAGGCCGAAAAAAATGAAAAGCCAGAAAAAAATAAAATTGTAGGAGTGATCTTTCACTTCGGTCACGATGAGTTCAAATATTATGGGTCCATCCCCGTTGATGTTGAAAGTTCAAGTTTGTCATGAAAAGTGGACGATGGAAACCAGCGATAAATTATCCAAACAGTCAGCAAAAGCAACCAAACGTGAGTGTTAAATGATTATCAGAAGAAGTAAAAGACTGCAGACACATACATATGTATATGTTAGAAAATATATATGTGAAAAATAGAATTACCTGAAGTGTACTCCCATTACCAGACATCTGAAAATAAACACTTCATAATTCCTAAACTCCAAAGATAAACAGCGATAATCCGAACGAAAACATTTTTGAAACACAGATTTCTATTAGAGAATTTACAACGGTAAATAATAAATCACAACATGTGCTTGTTAGCTGCATGCATGAAAGATTCATTCCGCCAGGTCAATAAAGATTTGCAAAATGGAACATTTATGACATTTTTTAAGGCAGTCTTAACAGTACTATGTCATCACTTATGTCAGGCGAGCAACCGACTTCACTGACAATTCCATACGCTAATATTTAATGAATTTAATCAAACGCTCTTAAATGATGAAGTCAGATTCACAATCTAATGAAATTTGAAAAAAAGTCGTGAAAATTCTTAAAAAACTCAATAAATTTCTTAAAACGTCAATTTGAATGATTTGCACCAATTCAGATTTAAAACTATAAACTTAAAAAATATTGATTTGAAAAAAATTTATTGCAACTTTTTTATTTTTTTCTAAAAAAGTTTCTTATAAATAAGTCATAGAAACCTATAAATTTTGGAGAAATTAATCCATTAACTAAGAAATCCATAAATTTTGGAAGCACCTTCAACGTTAATTAAAAAGCAGAAAATTAGCCAAAAAAGAACGATAAACAAAAAGCAAATTTTACACAGTAATTGCGCAATCGATTCAAGAATAGAATAAATTGTTTGCAACTAAAAATATATTTAAGGAAGCTGAGTAATAAGCTGTGCAAAACGATAATGGTCATTCATTATTTATGATCATCGCGAACTCCAACACCAAACCTCTTCAGTGCTCATATTTTCGCTAGGGAATGCGGAACCAATAAGCTTTAGTTTATGAACTTTTCGTCCCTGTTGACCTCTGACCTTCTGGCATTGATTATTAATTAATCACTAAATGATCCAGTAGCACTTGCAGTTTTCCAATTAAAGAATTCAGCTACATAAATGGTATTTTATGCAAATATTTAAATTACGGTTTTGTCATTTAAAATGTGCTTAAACATAAAGTAAATCACTGTACCAGCATCCAAATTATATCGTTTGGAATCATTTTTCTGTGCATTACAGGAAATCTGCTATTACAGCGGAATTCATAATCATTGATCACTTTTTCAAAGGCCCACTTGGGAATAAAAAGACAAATTTTCAGCTTCAGTTGGGCTTCGGAGAGTTTCAAAATGCAAGAATCAATCTACGGTGGTTGATGATTCTAATTATTAGTCTTAGAAATATAGATTCAACGCACCCTGGAATTTGACTCAAAGATCTAGAATTCCCGAAATATTATGTTGAGAGTATTAGTAATCGATCATTTCCAGGATAGCTAAATCAGTTAGGTTTTTATATGTGTTAATGATTCTCTCACCGAGAAAGATTTGATCTTTAAAAGCTTTTGCTCATGCTGAATATTCATGCTAATGCACCGTTCAGCCTCTGATGCGGATCCATAATTTTTGAAAGCCATGATGAGATGGAAAGATCCTTCTCATTCGATAATAATTGACTTTAAACTTTCTAGCTGAAGAAATATGATGCCACAATGCATTTGACGCCATTCATCGTCTACATATATCGCTGGTTCCCCTATACATTCAAAACCTTTCCAGAGTGTATCAGACAAGGTCTGACTGGTCCTCCTCGCTTTTGACGCCAATTATCACAGGGTTCAGCAAATAGCGAAATATGTGTCAATTCCTGTGGTGAACAAAGGAGAAACTAACTAGCGAAGGGCGACGCTCTATGATAACATTATTAATACAAGTGGTATTTGAGCTAAGATGGATATAATCATGTGCTATTTTATCCACTCGTAAAATGTATCTTAAAAATGGGTGGTTAAAAGTTTTTTAATATCTTCCACTATCATTGGCCATGTTTTGCAGCCATATAGCAAAATCGAGTGAATTGCAGTTTATATGGACGCGGATTTTCGTCACAGTGATTTCGCGACGGTTCTATAGAGATTTCATTAACCACATTTCTTGCTGTTGTTATCAATTGTTACAATTTTATCCTTTGCCTGGCCATTTGGGATTAAAGTGGATCCAAAGTATTTAAAATCAAGTACTTCCTCAACTTGTAACGAATTGATAAAAATAGGTGGTATTTTATCAAATTCTTGTATGTAAGGCGAAAATACTTGCGCTTTATTTATATTGACTTTGATTCGGATTCACGCTGCAGTTGTTGACGCATTGTTTAGCATTATTAGCATTTTATTATAAATATAAGCAAAAAGAACTAGATCATCAGCGTATTCAAGGTCTGTAATACTATGCTCTGGACTGATTTGCACACCTCTTGACCGCTGACAAGCAATGCCCATTGTTCAATCTATCGCATAGTTGAATACTGTAGAAGAAAGAAAATTGCCCTGATGGAGATCATTTCTTATTTCGAAGGAATTTCCCATATATACAAACCTCTGTCAAGGTTTGCTGATAAAATGCATTCATGAGCCGAATGATCTTCTCTGAGATGCTGTCACATTTTTTACAGAGCTATTCTATCAACCAAATCGAAGACAACTGCAAAATCGATAAAGCAAATAACGGTGGGTTGCTGGCATTTGAAACGACGTTCCAGCATCCTTTTTAGTGTAAATATCCAGTCAACCGCGTCTAGGTCCAGTTTGATTAGGACGCATTCTGTTATCTCGTGTTTCTATCTATTTAGCGGAAGAAAAGCGAAAATTTTTCCGGAAATGTCTAGTAGATTGATTCCTCAATAATTTTCGCAGCATATCCTATTACCTTTTTTAGGAATTTGAAGAAGAATTGCTTTGCTATAGTCTTCTAGTAATATTTGCTTTTGTCATACCAGAAAGTACATTTGTTGAAGGTGAATTATGAATGATGGTGGGCAACATTTGAAGAGTTCAGTCTAAAGACCATTTTCTCCAAGAGTTTTATTGGCCATAAGCTTATGGATTACAGAGATCGCCTCTTCTGTCGCCTCCGCGCTTCGCAGTAGTAAATGTATGGTTCGACGGGCGAATAACAGATTAACAATAACAGTTATAACAAATTGCGCATCGTAGTTACCTTTGGCCTCAAAAAATTCTTTCCATCTTCTAAAACGATCCTTAACAGATCCTTAACTGCTTTAATGGGCATCCTATTAATTTCACGAATTTCACGAATCATTTCATTGACCTTTTCTCGAGTTATAGTTGCTTTATGAAGGCGAAAAAGTTCCCTATTATTATCTATCCGAGCCGTCGTCTCCATTCTTAAGGTCATATCGATCCAATAGCGATTTCTATTCCGCCGTGCTGCTGTCGTTTAATTCTTCCAAGCACCCGATAATCAGGATCTTCTGACATTCGGACTTTTTCAGACAGTTGGACAGTTGCTTCCGACACCCAACTAGCATATTTTCTACTATTATGCACTAATGTGGAAGTGGCTGACTTTTTTAGGCATATCTTTAATTGTAACTAATATTCATTCGTCATTATTGATGTCATTTCACTGAGGTGTTTCAATAATGCGGTTTGAAATGCACTTATCGTTCCCGGATTTTTTAATTTGAGATAGTTGAAAGATCTTGGGATACGTTGTTTTTTACGACTTGTCAGTTTTATAAAAATCTTGGCTTGAACCACAACATCGTATGATCCATGGCGGTTACTAGTTACAGAAGACCGACCATCAGGCACATAAGAACTCTTCCAGCGGTGACGGTGATTTAATATAGTCAATCTGATCAGAATATTAGTTGTCTGGAGAATTCCACGTGATTAGATGTTTCCTCCGATACCGAAAATATGTACTAGTAATAAAGATTTCATGCCCTTCAAAAGGCGTTCTCCATTGGCGCACTGGACCCCGATGCCATATTTGCCAATCACCGAGTTCATTGAAACGGTATCATGATCTACGCGCGCATTCCAGTCTCCCCAGAGTATGAACATATCACCTCTCGGTAGGGATGTTGTTAACAATTGAAATTCCGCATTGAACTTATCGCGGTCATCTGCGCATAAAGTTGGAGCATATACATGATGACTGAAATATTGCAGAACTTTCCTTTGAAACGCTCATACGATAGGCCATACGATCATTACATTCAATTAGAGCGGACCGAGCCTTTTCAGACGTGACAGTCGCTAAACCATTTCCCGAATTATCCGAAACACCACAATGATATGGCTAATATCTTGGGAACCAGTTTTAATGATTATTCGCGAGCCGACATGAGGAATACGGATATCCGAGAAAAAAATCACATCCACGCGGTATTTAGAAAGAATGTGGATGCTAATCGCTTGGCTTTCAACATTCATAAGCGTTTTGACAGCAGCTTAGCCAAGTACCTCATCACGCTTACAAAGTAAGAGAGATTCTTATCTCCCTTGACGGGATTTGAATGTCTCTATTCGTGAGCAAATTCTACCTTGTGCCTTGGAATTTTATTATTATTATTATTATTATTATTATTATTTTAATATTAATTATTATTTTAATATTAATTATTATTTTAATATTAATTATTATTATTAATTATTATTATTATTATTTAAAAATAATTTAATTAATAATTAATAATAATTAATTTAATTAATAATTTAAAAATTATTAATTTAAAAATAATTTAAAAAACAAAAAAATTAAAAAATTTTAAGAAAAATTTTATACCTAATGCATTTAATGCTATGAATAGGTCTCAGCTGGTCAGGACATGAATTACAGTCAGAAAGATTTTGAACCTATAGGGAGACCAGCGATATATGGATTAGACGTTGGGAAAAGGAATGGCTTCTATTATCATCAGCGATGACATCAGATTAAAAAGTTTAAACGTCTTCGAAGCCAATCAAACCAGTAATGGCAAGAGCTGTTAGAAGAAGAAATAGAAGCTATAGAAGCCAAATTTCTATACTGATTCGGCCTATTTTTTAATTTCAGGAAAATAGACTTTAACTTAGGTTTTAGTCCAGAATTTGATATTTTAAGTGGCATTTGAATGATACTGGAGCTTTATATGGTAAATATTTATGCATATTAGTGCCTTTTTGAACTACTACAAATATTTACAGTCTAACAATATATTGCATATGCTGCAGAGTAATAGGGTAAAAAATTTCCACCAAAGAATTGTTTGGAAGTTGCAAGTTGGTCTCAGGCATTACCTGGATTTCATTTTAATGACTGATTTTTAATGACTTTTAATGGTCTATCGCTATCAACGAATAATATACCATTCACCATTCTGTCTCAATATACCTAGAATAGATTTTGCGCAGATTATCGTCTCAAGGGGTCAGTTGAAGTCAGCTGCTACTTCCACAAGAATAAAATCTGCCATTGAAAAATTCGGTTGGCACTCCGTCTACATCTCCAAATAACTTTATAGCAAAAATTCCTTAATAGAAGAGTGAGCCAAACTAGAAATTATTAACTGCTAATTACTTATTTAATATGCTGTGCAACCAATAAATACCTTTCGAGATTTATCCAACTATTCTTTCACAAATTCATCTCTAATATCGGTAATTTTTTGCCGATTTCAGGTATACCATTAGATAAGAATTTATTTCATTAATTTTTAGCATATACGATAAGTAAGTGGAAATGCGATAAGTGGACTAATATTGCTGAACGAGACCGTTGGTTCCACAAATTATTAAATTTCTAATAATGAATAAAGCAAATGGTCCCATTATTTGCTTGATGTCACTGAGGGAGGCACAGGTCCCTCATTTCATCAATTATGGCTGATAAGTAGCTGTAGTTTGTAGATCCTTGCAGCACTCTTAAATGTTGTTTTTCGCAATATATTTGCAATTTTCTTCCAATAAAAAAGAATAGCCGTTTTTTTGAAGATTCAACAAATTCATCGAAATAACATTTATCTCCTTAACATCGACCTCTATTTTCTCGCGCACTCCTGAAATCCATTGGATCGTATGACGGTATTCATTGGATTTTAGCGCTGTTTTGCTCACCTCTTGGTGCTTATCCCTTTAAATTTGCTTCTGTGGTCCACGAAACGGTCAGCACTGCGAGTGCAGTTAGAAGAGGTAAAAATGCTGACCCATTGACCGACCATCCATTTTTTTCATTCCTTTTATTTATGCAAAATTTAATGGAAAAATTTAACATATTTGATGAAAAGAAAGTTAGCCAAATTTTTTGTTTTTTTTTCTCTGCGACTTCAGTGATGAATAAATAAATCATTTGTTCGAAAAAGAAAATGGTTATCACTTATTACTGATGAATGGTACCTTTACGCGGCTTTTAGCACTCCTTCGCACCATTAAGTTGAGTTATAAAAAGAAGGAAATCAATGATATGTGAAGCAAGCCATACGACACTAGGTATGTTTTTTAAACGTGACCTCACGTGACCTGCTGCACACTGGCTCGCGACGTGTGACCCATGAGCCACACACCGGCCTTGCCTGACCTTCGATCACGCAAAGACACCTTATCTGCATGAAGGCAACTCATAGCCTTTCACCCATTATATAGCAAATTATAGAATTCGAAACTATCGATTCAAATTGGCGCGTTAGGTCTTAAAGCGAAAAATAGGCAGATATTGTATGAAAAATGAGGCATTATTGGTTGGGATAATTACGAAATGGCGAAAGCAATGTGGTCAGACGCTCGAGAAAAAGGAAATATAATGCAATTTTGAGAGGGTGCAAAAGAAAGAAAGTCTGGAAGCGTTGCGTTTTAATCGCAAAAGGTCGCGCTTTGATTTGTTTCTTCGATAAATGTTAGAGAATCAGAGGAAATAAAAAAAAGAAAAAATTAAAAATTTGGGAAATAAATTTTTACGAACGAAAGATCGCGTCAAATACATTGAACGATACTTTTACTTGAAATGCAAAATTTTTTTTTGCAATTTTTATTCGTTTTATGGCGTATTTTTCAAACGTCGTAGCAACGTCAATTAACATTTCTCTGCCAAAAATTTAGTTTCTCTCGTCGTCTGACTCTCTTGTTCTCTCTTTTTGACTATTATTTTCATTATTATTATTATTATCATTATTATTATTATTATCATTATCATTATTATTATTATCACTCGCTGTTATCATTATTGTTATTAATATTATTAACTATTGCTTTTATTATTTATTTTTATTATTATCGTTATTATTTTTATTATTCATATTAGTGTTATTAAACCATTATTTTTTATCGTGTTATTGCTGTTGTGACTCGATTTTTTATGTTTCTTATTAATCATTTTTTGCGTGCAAAAAATTTAAAGAAAAAGCGAATAATAAATAATATTTGCCTTTATCACTATTGATAATTAATTATTATTATTGTTATTATTCGTATTTTCTTTCTACTTTTTTACGACTTATTTTTACGACGATGTTTTATTTAAAAAAGGAGAAAACCTTCGACGAATTTCACAAAAATATTTCGTTATTTGCGCGCGAGACGAGACGAATTGACGTCTCGCGACGGACGACGACGACGACGCCAACAGCGACGACGACAACGACGATGCGTCTTATGGGATGTATGATTGGGCATTCAACGATTGGCGATGAAGAACGTGAACAACGAAAGGTTCCTCTTTTTTTATCAATTCCTTTTTGTCATTTTTATCAGTGGAAAGAGAGGATTAAACTTTTCGCTGCAAACGTTATGATAGGGACTGTTATCGTAAGAGTAAATATTGGATGATAATCGTATATCTTTGTTTATTGTGGTAGTATTAGCTTTAAACGGGATATAACTATAACTATATGTTTGCGTTAGTCTGTCATAATAGTCTGATAGTTATCGTACGCATCGGTGCGGTTCTCTATACATGGGAACTGACAGACTTTTTCGAAACAAAAACTGGAAACGTTTGTCAAAGCTGCGTCCTTTCCCCTACAGTATTCAACTGTGCAATTGACTGTATAATGGGCACTTCTTGTCGGCCTTCAAGAAGTGTACAAATCAGGCCGTAACAGATCTTAAATATTCTGATGATTTAGTCCTTTTTGCTGACAGTTATGACGAAATGCAAATAACGCTAAACAACGTGTCGGCAACTGCAGCGAGAATCGAAGTCAGGGTCAATGTAAATAAAACGAAAGACATACAAGAACCTGATAAAATTTTATATACTGATTGCCGCTAAGGATATATCCGATTTTAAATACACTGTAGTACTGAGGGGCCAGACAAAAATGATATTACGACCCGGCAGCTTCCCAATGCTTTTATGGAATCTTTATGGAGTCGCGAAATCCCCATAAAAATGAAAGTTCGTGCCTAAATAGCTATGCCATTGTCAACAGTAATAGAAGACATTCCTTTTTCCATCGTCTAAGTCCATATATTGCTGGTCTATAGGTTCAAAATCTTTCCTGACCATATCAGTCCAGGTGATTCATTCGACCTTGCTATATGGCTGCGAGACATGGCAAATGAGAGTGGAGAATATTCAAAAGTTATCTGCGTTTGACAACTTATGTCTAAGGTATATTTTGCGGATTCGCCGAGTGGATAAAATTTGCATCCACTTTCGTTCAAATACTACTTGCATTAACAGTACCATCACAGAATATCTCTTTCGCTGGTTAGGGCACATTCTTCGTCGGCCTTCACAAGAGTTAACACATATTTCGTTACTTGCTAAACGCTGTAATGGGTGACGTCAAAAGTCAAAAGTGGGGTGGACCAATCAAAACCTGGACTGATATGGTCAGGAAAGATTTTGAACGTATAGACCAGCAATATATGGACTTAGGCGATGGAAAAAGGAAAAAGTCTTCTATTACTGTCGACAGTGGCATAAAATCGCGCAACTTGGAAACGCTTTACCCTTATAGTAGATTTAGTCTAACCAGTAATGGTGAGAACCGTTAGAAGAAAAAGAATCTGATAGGTGGGCATTTTTTTTGCTCATTCTATAATAGATATGATTTTGTTGGTATTTTTATACTATGCATACATAAAGAAATTAAACAGGATGTAGTATTAATAAATATACGAGAGGGCAAGATATTAGTGCTATTGTTATTTTCAATGAATTATATTAAATTATATAATTATAATTATATTAAAATGGCAGTAATTTCAAAGATGATGTAGTTGATGCTTTTCTTTCTTCAGACACTGGAGACCAATGGAGCAAGAACTTTCCAATTTGTCCTAGTCATTATTTTTAATCAAAGAACTTATATATTGATTCTATGTACTGATTTACGTATTTTCAGACTTTTGCCCCATTTCTGGTATCAAAAGGAAAGGAGTTAAAGGAAAAGGAAGAGGAGAAGGAGTTAATTTGTTAATTTAGTGAAATTAAATTCGTGAAACTGGAAATTATATAATTTTAGTTAGAATATTGCAATTAAGAAGTTTAGGCTAAGCGATCTTACTAAAAACCCTCAAATAACTGATATTCATTTTATCCAGAAAATGCACCATATTATAGCAAAAAAACTTATTTAAAGAAAATATCTGATCTATTCTTAAAAGTCCTAAGCGGATTATGAGATTTCCAAACATCAAGAATTATTTAAAACATCAAGATATAAATTATTTATACCAGTTGGAATTAAATTACAAGCGAAAATAGGCGGGAGATTAGCATTAATATGTAGAATTTTGCATTTATCAATGGATGGCTTAATTTGTTGAAATTGAATTCAGTAAAAAAACATTTAATTTTTTATTTTACCATGTGAAAATAAGTCATCCGTGTATAAATACATGGGTTACTTGGATTAAAAATAATATAACAACACTTTAAATATATATTAATAAGATCAAAATACATTGTAATACTATTTGGAAATGTCCCAGGTATAACTAAAATAAAATTAGATAGTATGCTATTAATGCGAACAGTCTGGCAGCAATTACTTAAATATTCTGAAATCCATTTTAACATAACCATTTGTCATTGCTATTTGTAATAACTTTTTATAAGCAATTTTTCATAAAGAATTTAAATTTTTCATAAATAAAAAATTCGGGAACAAAAAGCGCATTTCAAACCGAATTATTGAAGCATCTCAATGATACAAATGTAATCAATGATCAATGATTTTTCTGGAACGACAAATGAATACTGGTCCAAACTAAAGGAATGTCTCCGAAAAACAGCCACGCCACGCTAGAACATACTAGTAGGAAATGCGCTGTCGGTAGCAACTGTCCAATTGTCTGAAAAAGCTGCCAAAGCACGAATGTCAGATGATCCTGATTACCGGGTTCTTCAAAGATTTGCAATGAAAGCAGCAAGGTGGGATAGAAATCACTATTGGAGTGACATGGCCTCAAGAATGGAGGCGGCGGCTCGATTAGGCGACAATAGGAAACTATTCTGCCTTCTTCATAAAGCAACTATGACTCGGGGAACGATCATTGAAATGGTAAGAGGCAGCAATGGCGTATTAAAAGTATTAAGGATCGCCTCATAAGAATTGAATTCTTTGAGGCCAAACTTAACCATGAAGCGCCATCTGTTGCCCCTGATATAGCTGATAGTTTGCCGAAGCATAAGTTTGCAATTGCCAGCTTCCAACAGAAAAAGAAATAATTACAGTTATCCATAAGCTTAAGACCAACAAAACTCCAGGAGAAGATAGTCTTCGGGCTGAGCTTTTTAAATGCTGTCCATCGTCCTTCATAACGCACCTTCAACAAATGGAAAAAATGTTCTTTAGTATGGAAAAAAGAAATATTACCAGATGATTGGAGCAAAGCAATTCTACTCCCAATTCTCAAGAAAGGTGATAGGACAATTATCGAGGAATCAGTTTATTAGACGTTTCAGCGAAAATTTTTGCTTCCCTTTTACTCAACAGACTTATGGAAGTCGATAGCAGGATGCGTCCTAATCAAGCTGGATTCAGACCGGTGCGCGGTTATGTTGACCAGATATTCACGTTAAGAAGGGTGTTGGAACATCGCTTCAAATATTTGCCACTGTCACGTGTTTCAAAGACTTCGCAGCTGCCTTTGATTCAATTGATAGAAAGGCACTTTGGAGGATGATGGAATGCGATGGTGTTCCAGAGAAAATCATTCAAGTCATTCGACTCATAAAGGCATTTTATGAGCGTACGTTGGCGCAGGTCTGTGTATATGGGGAACTGACAGACTCCTTCGAAGTAAGAACTGGTGTCCGTCAAGATTATGTCCTTTTCCCTTACAATATTCGACTATGCGATAAAGTAATCCAGAGCATCGTATCACAGATTTTGAATAATGTAGTCCTTTTTTGCTGATAGTTATAACGAAATGCAAATAATACTAAATAACGTGTAAGAAACGCTTCTTTTTATGAAGGATTGGTAAATTATTATCGAGGCACTTCTGAAAGAACGATTTTAATTAAGTAGTATAAAACGGGAGTGAATCTTTAACGACATGTATTGATATTTTTAACTCAGCACGAATTTTAGGTCTCTTACTTTTCATGTTAGTTTTAAAAAAATAGATTATATACAGACTATGATAAGAGTTATTGTATATTCTGACGTATTACCTGGTAGACAAACGAGAAATCTATATATTCCTTTTTATCATATAATAGGTATAAACTTTGAGCAATAGATATTAGGTTCTATTCGAGCTTTGAATGATATATAACTAAATTTCTTATTTACTTTAAGCTTTAGTGACAGATTATTCTTGCTTATAATGCTCTAAGGAAAAGCTTTTTATAGATTTTAAATTAATTTAACTGCACAGATATTTTTATATTAATTTTTAAATATTCTCGGTAAATATAAGTTCTGAGCAGTGATGAATCTTCTTGCAGGTTATACTTTTTTTTAAATTAGTGATGTGATTTGACGGAATATTTTGGGAGAGAATTATTTTTGATCTTACTTATACTGCAATTTATTAGTTACATAGTTTCTACGTAGTTAAAATGGTTATTTTTTCCGTTGAGAAAAAATTTTTTCGGCTTTAGAACTGGTAAAAGTATATTTGGAAATTTTGAAGAATGCATTTCTTTGTTATAGCTTTTCAATTGAGTTTTTTTCTTTCAAAATGATTCTATTATCCATTTTTACATTTTCTATTGGTTTTTATCAAAGTTTGGAATTTTTAACCAAATTAAAAGTTTTTAGAACTCTATATTACTCCAACTCCAATCTAATTTATACTCCAAAATTTTTTCTAACTGTTGGACCTTTTCGATTTTTTTTTTATTACGCATGTTTTATGGAAATTTATAAATACGTTAGAGTTACGGGTTATTTCGATCTTATTGAGATATACCTATCTTTTATCCAACAATTTTAAATTTTCTAATTTTTTTTCAAACTCGGTTGGTTTTTTCCCGTTTTTTTTCCACTTGTAATTTTTTAAGTTTTTAATCCTCCGATTCAGTCGAAATTTGTAACTCATCCACTTCTTGGAGTAGTTGCGGGCTTTTTGGCTTAAAATTTTCCATATTTTTTCCCCTTTTCTTTGTCCTTCTAGTTTCTTCGTTCATACTTGATTTTTAGGTTTATTTTCGAGTTAGAAATTTTTGCCACTTTTTAAATTAAATTAGTCACGATTTTTATAATAATTTTCTCTTTTAGTTTATTAATAAGGAATAATTCATTGTTTAGAATATTTATATTTTGTATTTTTGTGAGGTACGGATAAAATTAGTAGAAATGCAAAAAAGAATAAGCTTATAACTGAATAAAAATAAGTTTGGAAAAAATTTTTCTGAAACGAGATGATTGAAGATTGAAGTAGGTGCATCACTCTTCTCTTTCGTTTTGATGGTGATAAGGATAAAAATTACTTATTCATGATAAAATTAGTATAAAACGAAAAGAACAAGAAAACAAATTTTGGTTCTAACCTTTATTTATTTTTCACGTTTCTTGATCGAATTGACTGATAAACTGATCTTTTTTTTTTACTACTTGATTAAGCTATTTTTAATAGAGTGCAATTCTTTCATTTCAAAAGGGATTTTTTCTGTAGATCATTATCATTTGCACAGTTTTACAAATCGTGTTTTCAGCTTTCATATTTCGAAATTCCATTTTATTGCTTGAAATTACTGCTTAATTTATATTTTGATCTTCTTGATTGTATTTTATTTAATTAGCCATTTTATATAATCAATTTTTAGTTTTAGGTAGCTCAAAAATTGGTTTTTTTACTTTTTTTAGAACAATTTTTTCAAATTTATTTTTCGAAGGTTTGAATATTAATGAAAAGTAAATAAAGTTTTTTCTTTATTCTTTTCTGAGTATAAATATTGGCATCGGTCATCGCAGTCTTGCAAAGTCATTGGTTGGTATTCAGTGGTATTTTAATACCTGTTTTTGGTGATCTACTCAAAACATTTTTTTTTTTATTGAATTAATTGCGTAGTGAAAAGGAAATTTAGCAGGCAAAAAAGAAGAATTAAAATATTGTCATTGTTTAATCGATAAATAAGTGTCGTAAAAAATAGTTATCGTTATTAATGAACAGTTGATCTGTTCTTTTTATCTATATTTTTTAGCGTTAAATTTTTCTATTTTTGCGACAAATGATTTGTTAAAAGATGATTTGTTAAAAAATTCATTCAAGAAATGAACAAGCAAATTTAAAATTTGAAATATAAAAGGGTTGATGGATGTGGATTGCTTCATTTATTCGGTGCATGAAAACTTTTAAAATTTACAAAATTTAAAACTTTTAAAATATTATTTCAAATATTTCTGCGAATAAAAAATTTTTTTTTATGTTAACAAGCAAATCGAAGAACAGCTACAAAAAGATAAGCAGTTGTTGCGTGCGACACATCGACTCTTGTTGTTAGGTGCGGGTGAATCTGGTAAAAGTACAATTGTTAAACAGATGCGTATTCTTCATATAAATGGTTTCAATGAGAAGGAAAAAAAGGAAAAAATGACTGATATACGTAGGAATGTCCGAGATTCTATAGAGGTTTGCTCATGATTTAGATTCTTTTGTGGGAAGGCGAATATTTGGTCTTTTTTAGAAATTAATTTTATTTCAGGTAATATTAAGAGCAATGAGTGAAATTGATCCACCTGTGCAACTGGATAATCCATCTAATCAACCTAGTAAAGAATATTTATTGACAACGGCTGTATCGCCCGATTTTGACTATCCTCAAGTATTTCTTTTCTCTTTATCGTGAATTTTTATTAATTAGAGTTTATTAATTACAGTTATTAAGATTGTTTACATTATTAAGAAAAATAATGAACTACAGTTTTTTCATTTACTTTCGAAAAAAAATTTTTTTTCGATTTTCTACGATCATGTAATGAAATGCTGGGCTGACCGTGGAGTACAAGCATGTTACGAAAGAAGTAATGAATATCAGTTGATAGATTGTGCAAAATAGTTCGTCTTATTTCCTTTATTCGTTTTCCTTCAAATGAATAGAATTATTTTTTAAAATTCTATTTTATTTTTTCTTTTTCCCTTTTTTCTCTTTTTCCCTTTTTTTCTTTTATTTCCTTTTTCCCAAAGAACTGGCGAAATTAGTTTTTTGATGAGATATTTATTTATATTTGATCGACAAAAAAAATTCTCCTTTTTGAATATCCAAAGAAGCTAAGTTTTACATTCAAAAAATCATCTAAAAATCTGGTATCTGGTTTTAATCTATTTTTTTTCAGTTTTCTGGATAAAGTAACCGATATTCGGCAAAATGATTACAATCCTTCTGAGCAGGTTATCTCTTTTATTTTTTAATTAGTTTTGGTTTTTATTTTTTCAATGAATTTTGTAGCATAGTCGCGACCGGTTTTATGTGGTTTTATGTAGAAGATTAATGGGGAAAAGTTTATATTAACTATAAACTTGGTTTTGTAAAAAAATATTTGTATATTATATATTGTAATAAATTCTTTTGGAAGTGAAAATTTTCAAATGATTGCGAATTTTAAGGATATATTACGCTGTCGTGTGATGACTACAGGGATTTTCGAGACGAAGTTTGAGGTAGAAAAGGTGCGATTCCAGTAAGTTTTTTTATTTGATCATTTTTTGTTTTTTTTTCTGGTTTGTTTCTAATATATTCTTTTTCGCTTATGTTTTATAAATTTTGGTAATTAAAAAATGATCAAATAAAAAAAAAGTATATTGTGTGATGTCAGGATTTTTTTTCAAATCTTAATGTTATTCTTGAGGTAATATCTTTTACTTTACCGATTTTGTCTTACCACTCTTTGATCTTCCAACTTTCATTCTTTTTTGTTAATTTCAGCATGTTTGACGTTGGCGGACAACGAGACGAACGCCGTAAATGGATTCAGTGCTTTAACGATGTAACTGCGATAATTTTCGTATGTGCATGTTCATCATACAATTTAGTATTATGGGAGGATGCAACACAGAATCGTTTAAAAGAATCTCTCGCACTATTTAAAAATATTTGGAATAATCGTTGGCTCAAGACAATATCTGTCATACTTTTTTTAAATAAACAAGTGAGTCTCTCTTTTTTTCTATTCTAACTTTTTGCATGGAATTCAATTAATTGTTTTTTGACCATCTCAGTTTTTTTGCTAAATTTTTTTAATGAAAAAATTTTAATATATATTTTTTAATATATACTTATATACTTTTTTATATTTTTATATATATTTATATATTTTTATATATAAACATATATTTTATTATATATTGTTATATTTGTTATGTTATATTTTATTATAAATTGTATATATTTTTTATTTTTTAATATTTTTTAAAATATTTTTACTTTATTTTATTACAACAATATTTTACATGTTTAGGATTTATTATCGGAAAAAATAAAATCAAGACGACATCCGTTAGAATCGTATTTTCCGGAATTCGCCAATTACCAGCTACCTAGTGATGCATCTTACGATCCATCTGATGATATAAATGTTGTTAGAGCCAAATACTTTATTAGAGGCGAATTTTTAGTGAGTTTTCTTTCTCAGAATTTCTGTAGCCTCAATAGTTTTAATTTTTTAATTTTTTTAATTTTGATTTGCAGAGAATCTCAACGGCAGCTGGTGATGGACGCCACCATTGTTATCCACATTTTACATGCGCAGTTGATACGGAAAATATTCGCCGGGTGTTCAACGACTGTAGGGATATTATACAACGTATCCACTTACGGCAGTACGAGCTTTTGTAGATAAAAACCGACAAAATAGGTCAAATCAGGGAATTGAAATTATTTTGTCAAATTTTCTCCTTGATTCACATACGTGTATATGTGTGTGTTATGTGTGTGCGTGTTCATGTGCGTATGTGGACAGTTGAATAATCTGTTATTTCTCGGCTAAAAATTATATAGATAAATATTTCTCGTACTGCCATACATCGCGGGACGTGTCAATGTGACTAGGCGATGAAACAAAGAAACAAATAAACTCAGCCAACAGGAATTTAAGCGTGGAAGATTCTTTGGTAAGAACAGTGGTGACATTTATATAGCCATAAAACAATTTGTATTGTGCTGTATTTTTAATCCAAGTTTTTTGTTCATTTTATTCATCTTTTTTTTTTTGCAATTTTTCTGTTCTTGCTCATCACCAAATGCTTTATCACGTTGCGCCAAGTCGCGATGCAATCCTCCGGCGGGAATAATTTTTTCTTTCTAATTTTTTTTTTATATGCTAATGATTCTACGGCACAATGGATGTAATAGACGGTGTTATCACTCATGCATTGATTTATGAGCGAATGTAAAATAAGTTCTTCTTCGATTGTCTCGGATTCTATCGATTCTAAGGCTTTTTTTTTTTAAATTCCAATACGTAGAAAATCTACAAGGAAAATTTGATATATGTATATATATATATATATATATATACAAGTTACATATGTATATATAACTTTCTATTTCCATTATGCTTTCTTTATAACAATAACAGATTTCGAGATGCGCTTTTCTTATTTTATTTTTTCTTTCTTTTAATATTTTCTTTTTTTTGCAGCTAGTTTTATCTATCCAAGATGAATTTGTATAATAAATTGCTATAATGTGATACAATTTAATATTATTGTATTATCATTATGTCATTACGAAAACGCATTCATTCACTCATTTAAAGCATTTTTCGCATTTGTTATATTTTTGACGATGGGGGGTCTTTTTTAACTTTGGATTTAGAAAGCCCGAAAAAAAGAGTAAAATTTTGAGTGAAGTATTTGGTTGGTTTTTACTAATATTGATCTTGATTCGAAAATTTTTCCTTTCATCCAGAACTGATTTGATTGTATTATTTATTCTGCCCATGACTGAGGAGAAATTATCGAATTTTTGAAAGGGGTCGAGATTTCTCTTCACACATTGATAGATGAGATTATATAGTTTTTGTAATTAATTCTAGTCTGAATCAGTTTGCTTACTAAATTATCTCGCAATGTTCTAGAAACGTTAGGAATTTTTTTGTTTACAGGATTCGTTTTTTTTTTATCTGTTTGGAACAATGTTAGTTGTATTAGTTGATCCTGGATTAGGAATTGGCTTCAAAAATTTTGGCGATTCTTTAAAATAAACTAGAGTGATGAAGATTTTCCGAACATCCTAGGATATTGCATAAATATTTGTTCTGTTCTGAAAAATTTAATGATCATTTTGATCATTTTAATGATCATAATATTAAGTTTTTATGTAAGCTTTCATATTATCTATCGCCTATTAAGATATTTAGCGTGGAATATTTGTCATTGATTATAAACCCATTGTCCGATGAGATGCTCCGATTTCTATGATAATAATATTAATAAAATATAGAATCGCTTATAGCGTCGAAGAATTGGTGAAGATTTGTTTTCAGGTGAATATTTATTTAATATTTGTATTTATTTGTACTAAATAAAATGTAGTTCATAACTTAAGGCATAAAACGCATAGTTTTGAGGAATTGGTTTAGCATTTGATCCGCATTTCCAGTTAAAATTTTTCATGAATTAAATAATTTCGAGTTAAAGCAGTTTTTAAACTTGTCCAGATTATTGTTGCTTCTTTAGGCATATAAATTAAATTGCAGCTCAACCGTTCATGTAAGAAGGTTCTTATGCATCTTGCAAGAATTTTACATTGAAATTCCTTTTTATTTCTTCCATCATCGCTCAGCTTCAAATATATTTGAGACATTAATTAATATTAATATTAATATTGTATGAAACTATTGTTTTTTATCATTATTTTAATTTTCATTGTGATTGATGTTCATATATTTTTGACATATTTTTATTTTGGAAAAAGCTTGAATAAAATTACATTTGATGTGTTGTTGGTATTCATATGGAGAATAGGTTCAAGGTGTTTTATATTGCTTCGACCAGGATTAAGCCACCATAGGTTCTGTTCCTATATCTTGACGGAAGTAGTAAATAAAGGTGCCAGCGAGTCTATACCCAAGTCGTCTTACCAGTTAATGGAGCTAGCCATGTGGCTACTATGTGTTGTCGTGTTCAAGTTCTGTGGAAAAGATTTCTGTTCAAGATTTATTTATTCTCTGCTTATTTGAGGAATGAGGAAACTTTTTGTTTGTGAAGTGAGGTGAAATGGATGAAGTTTGTGTGCTATTTTTTTCGACTTATAATTTTATTAAAAGATTGAAATTAAAAAGTTCTGCGCGAAGAATCAGTTAAAAATGAAATATTCGAGAATTAAGTTTCGAGAACAATTTTAACAAGTTTTTCCACTAAAATTATTGTAATTGCGATAGGTAAATTAAGCAGTTATCGAACAATTAACTGATGAAATTTACTTAGGTAATTTATGAGTTTATTTAGTTTCGACATGGACATGATCGATTCATTAAACTGGCGGAATATTATGGTTACTACTATATAAAGAATTTTATATTTATCATTACAGCGGCAAGTTTATTCGTTGCAAAGATCGCGTGTATTGCAGCAGCAAAAATTTATGGGAATTCCTTGGAGATTCATACTTCGACAAGTGTTTCGTGCAAGCTGAAATAATTTGTTTAATTCATGCAGAAAAAGAAGGATGCGATGAAGGAAGAAGGATGAGATGAGATGAGATGAGACGAGAAAAAGATGTCCCTTCACTTCAAATTTTTTCTTCGCCTGAATATTGGAAATTTGAATGATTCGGAAAAATCGGAAATTGAAAAGTTATTTCGATAAAGTAGATGTTTAGAAGTGGAAATATGAATTTTGAAAATATATTTAATTTCATTCCACACGTTACTTTTGAGAGGAGTGAGGAGGAGGGAGGAACAGGGCAAAATAGTGGACTGAATAGTTGGCCATCGCATTGAGAGATGAGGATTCTATTCCTCTTTCAGAGACAATTCATGAAAAATCCAGGCAGTACTGATAACCCACCTATATTTCATACCATATAACTCAATAATCGTATTAGCAGGTAGCGAAGTTAGTCAAAAATTATGTTTGCTAATCATTTATTATTATTTAATTACTGAAACTCAGAGGAATGGAAAATTTTTTTTAAAGGAAGATTTTTTCTCAAAATATATCTAAAAATATGTAATCTTCATAAACGTGAGAACAATCTTGACAGTGAGTAGAAAAAAAAAAGAATAATAAAAGTAAAAGTATATTCTTTAAGCGTATTTATTCCCTGCAAGAAGAGGCTGACCATGCATCTCCACTTTGAACACCCAGCTTTATCTATACTGATAAGAGCTGCTGCTGAAGCAGTAATTTTATAACAGTAATCATCGCATTCCTCCGTATTCGAACCTGAACCACCCAATTTGAAACCCTAAACAAGGTTTTTTCTGAGCATATTAATTATTCATACTTTCAGTAGTCTCAGATTATTGCCAAGATATGCGGAAAAGTATCATTAGAAGTCAGAGAAAGAAAAGTGCATTTAATTTTTGAAAATTGAGAGATATCTTAAACTTTCAAAGATCTGTTTTTTTTTCTAAAATTTGTTGCAAAATATGGTACCAACTAAATAAATAAGTAAAAAGTAGAAAAGCTGAAATAGATTTGCAAATACCACCACATTGGTATCTAAATAATGAACCTTCCTAAATTTAGTTTCCGCATGTACTGATTCGAAAATATAAAAGAATATATGAAAGTGCCAGTCTATTGATTAAGAAGCTAGGGCTAAAGTTTAGTGAACATCTGGATGTTATTTAACAGTTGTTCAGCTATAAACTTAGATTTGGCATTAAATCGATGATATATCATAATAGATGTCCACCATCTTTCACTTATATCTCATATTAAGGCTGGCTGGTACTTTAGTATTGTAATTGTATTTGTAAGAGTACTATTGAAATGAAGAAAATTTAAAATTTTACAAAATCTAACCGTATAACATTTTAAAGAGGTAGAAAAATAAAATAAGAACAAAAAATGAATAAGAACAATGAGAGGTAATTTCTTCATTAATTCATGCGAGTTTCTGAAGGCGATCAACAGAAATTTAAACAAGATAAGCTGAAGATAAAAGTAAATAAATCAGTGATAATCACTAGCTAATAATTGAAAACAAAACGACGAATGACTAACTGAAATAACGAACTGGTTAAAGAGTCCATTTGTGTGATACTGTCTAAATGGGTAATCCCAAAAAGATATTTGTTGGCAAAAGCCATAATTAGACGAAATTTTTTAGCAATTCTGGCTTATTTTTTATTTTTTCTAAATGACTCTATGCTTATGTAATTATTACTCAAATGTGGGAGAGACTTCATGAGGCTTCATTCGCATCATTATGCTGAGCAGCGGGACCATCCTAAGAAATGATAGGGCACTAGTTATTAGAAATTTAGAAATCGCTATTACAGGAGACTGGAGAGTACCTCCGTTCAGTACTTATTTTCTTTTCTTAGATTTTCCTTTTTGAAATTTTTTTTCACAAAATTTTAAATTAAAATTGTAAAGCAATTTATTTTAACGGCCAGTCTAAATTAACTAAAGTCAGTTATTTTTGAATACTGGAGAACTGAGTGCTGTTTGACAATAAAGATCCACATTTATTTTTTATCTCCCAAAACAAAATTATTTAAAATTCAATAAATTTGTATAATTTGTGTGAAAGGTAAAAGAAAGAAAATACCAATAATAAATAATAAAATAATAAAATAATAAAAGCCAACAAAACTGTAATAAAGGTAGGAAAATCAAACTTTAAATAGCAGTTGTTCTAAATGAAAATAAATACATCTAGACATTTATTTGTGAAACTAGTTTAGCATCGATTTATGTTGCATACACATTATAAAAAAATCCCCACATTCCTCACCTAGGACAAGTTGTGTGGCACAAGCAGCCTTCGAGTCCTCTACCTAGGACCAGATGGTTCGAGAGTTTGCGCAATATCTTAAGTCTTCTAAAGAGAAATCTCTGATATTGTTCCTAGAATTTGTTAAAGATATTTCTAATTTAAAGGGCACTTGTAGAGCTCCAGTTATTGTTTGGACCATCTTGTCCTTTATGCATCTTCTTTAGTTTCTCTTTCAGTTCTTGGTGTTTTTCAAAAATTTTTTCTTCCTAACGTTCCTGTAATTTGGTGTTGCTATACATCTCACCAGTGCAGATTGTGATTCTTGTCTATTACCACTAGTTGATTGGTCGGTAGTTGTTTCTCTCTCTGGATGAAGTCCTACCGAATCTTCGCCTTATTATTCTCTACGATTTTCTGAGGAATCTCCCATTTAGACTTTCGAGAGTCTAAGCCATACATCGAGCAGATGTTCCTCCTGTAGATGATATGAATTACTTGGTTATGCCTTTCAGGGTATGTTGTTCCTCTTGCATTTTACATCCGGCCACTATATATTGGACTGTTTTTGGGGCGTTTATGCACAGTCTGAATGCACAGTCTAGAGTCCTATCTATTGTGGTAAATCCTTGTTTTGATGGATCTAATACATAGTGCTTGTTTCTATGCTACATAATCAAATATTGCCTTTCAGTCCGGCTTTTCCCAATCACTCAATGTCAATGTCAGTTGCCTCAGCTAGATGATGCATCTCATGGAGAATCATGCTTTGGTGCTTTTTCTTCCTGTTTTTTCTACCATATCTGTAGATGTTAAGATTCTCTCTGCTCTGTTGTCATCTTTTTGACTCCTGAATGGACATGTTTATCGCATGGATTTTCATTTTCCCACTGAGATGGCTTTTTAAAAGATCTATCTTATTCTTTGATGGTATTTGTATATTGCTCTTTTCCTTGCCTCTTCATTGTAGTTCTCATGTGACTAATTACACTCTACCATCTGGCCACACTTCTCCAGTCAGATTTTTAAGTCAGCGAAGCGTAACCAGCAATAAACCCTTTTGGAAAAAAATCTTATAGTTCCTTAATTTCAGTATCTCTATTACACTTTCGGCTCTTCAAAAATTCTTGAGCCCTTGACACCTTGTTAAAAATTTCTCTTGTTGCTTTTAGGGTTCCCTCCTTTTTATTAACTATTTTATTCAAAATTTTTTTGCCCGCAGTTATGGTTTTCTAATTTTTAGGAATATCAGTTAGTAATTTTGAATTTTGCACGCCTACGTTATGGGTTTTTTCTTTTGCTCAATGCCACAGCGAATATAAAGGGAGAAGAACAGTTAAGAAATATGATAAGAATTGAAGAGAAATTGAATTTTAAGAGAAACTGAAGAGACTGAAAGTGTGTAAGGTAAATTTGGCTTGAAAGCAATTTGTTAGAATACAATAATAGAAGAATATAAGGAGTTTTGAAAAATATTGAGGGGAGAAGACTTAATTTTTCTGGCTTACCTTAATCTTTAATAAGATTAATATTATTCGGCATTTATTCTTAAGAAATTCGTTTTAAAATAAGTCATTCCCGCTATTTTACCATGAAAGTGTAAGATGGATCTTTTTTCTATTCATGCTACATTCAATCTATCAACCCAACGTAATACTTTCAAATCATCGTGAAAAGAGAAAGGCTCAGATTCTTCAGCTGATAGTAGTGGACCTGCCATTGAAAAATTCGAATATTACAGGTGACCCAACCGTATTTATGTCGATAAGTGAATTCTCTGGAGAAAATTTCTATCAGTAAATAGTGATGCAAAATTGTCAATTGACTCTCACTGCAAATGTTCAGCTCTGATACAACCAAATTTTGAAAATTTTTTTTATTCATAATTTCAAATATTTTTCTTATTATCCTTGTCAAAATAATCAGTATTGGAGAAGATAATTATAATTCTCCTGAAAAAATGATTTCCTCTTTTTTTATATATTTTTTTATTGTCATTTCATTAATAATATTTGTAATATTAAAATTTATTTTTTCAAGAATGGAAACCAATTTATCACTCTATTTATCCATTACAAAGATCGTGCGTATTACAACAGCAAAAACTTATTGGAACTCCTTGTATGCTCATACTTCGACAAGTGTTTTTTGCAAACTGAAATAATTAACTTACATTTTATGAAAAGAAAATATCATAAATTTATAGATTTTATTCAGTAGCAAATTTCGGATAGGCTGGTCGAGGGGTACGTTGTTTCGACTAAGGTCGTCAAATCAATCATTGTTTTTTGACGGGAATAAATATAATCATTGAAAATGAATTAGCTGTAATTTTTTTCTCCCCACAAGACTTCATCATCATAGAGGTGCTTGCTGCAGGATATACAGTGATATTATTAATCAAGAAAATTAATTCGCTTTAAAAGTCTTCGGCATGGCAGGAAGATTCGAGGTCAATATAGACATGGAGCGGATTCCCAAAGGAACTTTAAGGAAAATGCAGATTAGAACTGGGAATCGCCGAGCGCCACTTTCTGTACATGGATTCAAGCAAATCAAAAAAGAAAATAGCAAAACAACATTCTTAACATCTAATTTATTTATCTGAACTATGGGTTAACAAAAAAAAAACAGGCTTTTCATGCTTCTGAGTAAACTTCTTTCTAGAATTAGTTAAATAACTAATAACTATTAAATAACTACTAAATAATTTAGTTAATCTAATTTTTGGAGATAATTTTTTGAAATTATCCACCGATTAAGTGAATCACCTAATATTAAGAAACGCTCACAAGCTAGCTTAGCTACTCTGACTATTAATACATTTAAAATTTAAAATTTAAATTTAAAATTTTTTTAAGGAAGTCATCTGGTGACAAGTGGCTTGCCAACATCTTATGGAATGACATATATACTCAGAAGAACTCTTTGCTCTCAAGGCAATAGTCTAAACCAATATCCACTCGAAAGGAGTAAAACTGTCATTAAAGAATCCTGATGCTACTCATTTATACAAGTGGCTAAAAGACTTTCCAGAAATTTCTAATCATAGTAGCCAGAAGAACTCGTCTAACGAACAATGGATAAGCATTAACCACTTATTTGCTTACTTGTTCCTCTCTTGGACACGAATGCGAACCTCTCAATAATCTGAATCACCATGTAATCAGGCATCGAATAATGTGTAAGACGAGAGGGGTGATGGAAAGTGATAGGTGACTTAGAACAAGAATGAATGAAATTATAAAAAGAAAACTTCTAACCACGCATCTTCGCGTTGAACATCCAGCTTTATCAATACTAAGAAGGGCTGCAACTGAAGTCGTGATTTTATAACAGTAATCGCTATTGTCATCGCATTCCTTCGTTTCTGAATTCGTACCACTCATTTTGAAACCCTTAAAACATTTATTTTATCTATCATTATTCTCTCACAAGAAGTTGGATAGGAAATTCAACGACTGTATAAACTTAGAAAACCACTTTGTTTTTCAAATTTTTTAAAATCTAATCTGATTTTAAAATCTGATTTTTTTCTTTTTTCTAGTCATGGAGCTGATCGCGCAATGCACGCGATATTCCTTTGGCAGTCTAATAAATAAATAAATAATAAGCAAGCCGAATCAATTGGCATAAAACTGCAAAAGAGACTTATTTTTGTTGTATTTCTGCCGAAATTGCGGGCTCTTAGTCCTGAACTTACCTTCTTCTTAGTTCTCAACACTGCTGGTTAGGCCGGCTTTGCTGGCTTCAAGGGTAAGACATTTTTAAGCTGCTCGGTCTGACGCCATCGCTAATAGTAAAAGCCATTCTTTTTTCCATCGCCTAAGTCGATATATCGCTGATCCCTGTATATATTCAAAATCTTTCCTGACTGTATCTATCCAGGTGTTGGCTGGTTCTCCTCGCTTTTGACGCCAACCATCACAGGGTTTAGCAAATAACGAAATATGCGTCAACTCCTGTGGTGGATGATGGAGAACGTGCTCTAACCAGCGAAGACGACGCTCAATAATAATATTATTAATACAGATGGTGTTTGAGCGAAGATGGATACAATCATGGGAGACTTTGTCCGCTCGACGGTGGTTCGACCCTTAAAATATATCTTGGACATAGTGGTCAATTGATTAATATTTTCCACTCTTACTGGCCATGTTTCGTAGCCACATAGCAAGATCGAGCGAATTGCAGCTATATGGACGTTTCATTTTTATAATGATTTCGCGACAGTTCCATAAACGTTTCGTCAATCGAAAAAATATATTTCTAGTTGCCGTTATCCGTGTTGCAATTTCATCCTTTCCCTGACCATTTAGAACCAGAGTAAATCTAAGATATTTAAATTTAAGATACATACGCAAGTCCTGAATCAGCACAAAAAATGTTTGCCCGCTGGAAAGGTCAAATGCAAATTTGAGTATATTAATATTATAAGCGAATAATTAACTGGATAAATTTAAAAACCTTACCGTATAACATTTTAAAGGAATCGAGGGAGATAAGAAGGATAAAAGATAACTAAGAATAACCAGGGCGAATTTCATTAATGCGAATTAGAAAAATTCACAAAGTTCGAGTTATTTAAATCAGTATGAGCAACAACAACTGAAAACATGAATTTAAACAGCAGTTACTGTATTTATCTTGGTTATATGGCAGCTTATGTATAAAAATAATTTGGCATTAGCATAATGAGACATCATGAGACAGAGACGAATTTCAACAGTGAGAAGAGAAGCCAAAGCTATCGTTAAAACGTAGGATAAGAGAAAATAGAAAAAGATAAACCATTTATCATTAATTATTAACGGCAATCACCTTTTAAGGGTCTTGATAAGAATCGAAAATATGGGTTCGTTTGTGGTGATGCTTACGAATCATATTGCGCTAATTTATTCAGAACAGTAAGGGAAGTATATTGAAATTAAAGGCTGTGCACGAGAAACGAACTATAAAACTGAGAACTATAAAAGAGAATGGAGGGATTTTTTTTATAGGATAAGAGACTGGCACCCGATAAGGCTGAAGAAGACAACAGGATGTGTACGTCCAGATCTCACAGAAAATTAAGGTCCATAACGGGATTAGATTATGTCTTAAGAGACTGAGATTAGATAGTGCCTAACACGGCCTAAAATTATATGGACTAAAGTGAAAAAAAATTTACTCATAAAAATTTAGCTATGAGGTTCAGTATGATAAATGCACTCATCATATTTCACCAGATTACCAAAAGATGTATTCCTCTGAATCGACCAACCCCTTATCTTTTATCTTTTCTTTAAATCAAAAAGCAATTTTATAATAATATGAAAATGCACAAAAATCAATAAAAACTGGCTATGACATAAAAGTAAAATGATAAGGACTCGTCAATAATTATGGCAATAAAATGTACAAAGTACCACTATTTTAGAAGGAAAAAGTATAAAAATGGGGAAAAAAGTTATTTTTGAAATTATTTATTTCATAAGGGCATCGTTTTAAGGTGAAATAAAGGTATATATATATATATATATATAAAAGCAAGTGGTTCCAGTTCGCTATTTCTGGATAGGCTAATTGCAGCGGTTGCTGTTAGAATTTTGCCGATCGAATTACAAACGAATCAGGAGCTGATGAATTTTATGGTGACACAATTACTCGCGTCGGAGTTAGGATCCAAATCGATATAATCAATGAAAATGACCAATAATTGAACAACAAAGCACTCGACTATCCTGCATCGATACATTTATCCAGTGTTGATAAATCATAATAAATTGTTTGGGTCGCTAGAAACCATCGTCTTTTTTTCTACAAAAAATGAATCGCTCAATGAATCATTTTATTGCTCAGATTTTTAACAAATTATCGTTCACCACCAGAAGCAATCAAAATCGATGATTCTTCAATGCTTCGATCAACTAATAAACTGCCAAAAAATTTCGCATTGAATTTCATGTAACTGAGGTTAAATTCCAGAGTAATAGTCGCAGGCGCACGATTTCCAATGGGAAATAATCCAGAGCGCCATCGATTCTCCTTTGTTAACTTATAAACCACCTGTGCGCCCAATAATTCCGCTTCAAAAATTTCTGGTCATATAGAATTGGTTAGCGCTAACCACTTAATTATGAAAAATAGTTGAAATTATGAAAAAGAAATAAATTACGAAAAAAAGAATAACAACAAATTATAACAGCAATAAGCAATAATAAAGAAAACTCGAGCATTCTGTTAACAATTGCGCCACAAGACTGTTTTTTCGCAGAAAATTTACTCTAAGATTCTTATTGAAAAGATAAAATTTGCACCTAAAACCTCAAATCTTTCCTTCTGCAGTAGTAAATCTATCATAAAAAAAATCTGAGAGGCGCTAGCAGTTCATCTGTATTTTTATTGCCAAACTAAGCGGTTCGGTATCAAAAATTTTCCATAATAAAGGACAAAAAAAATCAGATAGAGGAGATAGCCTGAAAAAAATTAGAAATGAAGAGCATACGCGCTAGCCACTTGTTTTCTTACTTTACTCCATTCAAGCAACATGAATTTGTGAAAAAATATTTCTACTAATGTTATATTCAACACATATTGAAGCATACAAAGAACAAGTGAACAACGTGAATAGCAATTTTACTACTCTTTTCTTGCTACATTTTGACCTTCTTTGCATCCAAATGTTCTCTTCTTATTTCAGAAAAAATCCACTTTACTTGTTTGCTATCTCATAACTTTTTTATAGAGAGGAATTGCGAAAATTTTTAGTCTATACCTTTTCTTTTCTTTATAAAACTTAATTTTTTCATAAAATATAATTATTTTATTAAAAAGAATTGATGTTGTCATATTCGAAAAAATAAAGAGAAACGGACTGTTAGAAGAAAAGATGGCGAAACATTAAGGAGGTGTTTCAAGGTGTTTTAAGTGGTTAAAATCGGCTACTGCAGACCGCTATGAATTAGACAGATACCACAGTGCTGGAAAAAATGTGGATAAACTTTTCAATAAAGCGAGTTATTATTGATGCGAGTTACTTATTAAGCTCAATTATTGAATAATATGCCCCATTTATATTGAATTAAGGTTTGAATTAAGGACTTACGGAAGATCTTATTTTATGACATTATCGACTGTAAAAAATGTCTAATATAGATAAATCCATTCTTTAAAATGTTTAATTGAACTATTTATAAAAAGAATTTGTGAATCAAATTATACGAATAATTTTTACTGGTCGCCAGGAATTGTAATTCTGCGCAAAATTTAAAATAAACATTGGATGAAATTTAATTTAGGCTTAGACTTAGGACTTAGGTTGTAAAGTTGTTAAGGTTGAATTCTGTTTTAAATGCATTCTTTTATTAATTACAACTCAAAACTTGAATTATAAAATTTCGATTCATTAGGGGTGAGAAGAAGGAAAGAATTGAGAAACTTACAAAATTTTATGTGGCTAAGTTTAAATGAAATTTAGTTGACCATTCAAAATGTAATTTTGGCATGTTTTATTATATATAATGTTTGGTGGCTGGAAATTACGGAAATACATCTGCAAAACTAAGTTAGAGGTTAGTCATTAGTCGGTCATTACTCTTCATTCTTGCCATTATTCATTGGAATAAATTTTCCAGAGATGCCGATGCGTTAATCGTTTCAATTTGAGAAGAAAACCATGTAATGTTCAAAAAACTGTTTGAATACTCTCTGTCTAACTATTCAGGCCATTTAATGCAGTCAAAATGAAGACCTTTAATAAAGAAATTTATAGAAAAAAAAAACGGAAATTTCTGTCACTGAACTTTGGAAAATAAAATAATAGAGTGGAAATGACCCAGTTTACCTCGTTGAGAGGCTAGGAATCAGAAAAATCCGAGTGTGATGCAGACCCGCAGTGATCCACTTGTTTCTCCATCGCCAAGTGATTTCCTGCGAAAAATTTCTAATTGTCTAACAGTCAACAGAGTTTAACCAGAAATGGTGAGCTTTAACTACTTGCTTATTGAATTGCTTTATATATTTATAAAGGTTCGGGTCCTAATACTAGCAAAAGTCAAACTATCACTAAAAATCCGAGTGGTAACCCATCGCTTGGCAAAAATTCCTTATCTTTAAGCATAATCATTTATTTTATCTATCTTTCATATATAGAGTGACTGTTAATAATTCTCTATTTTAGTGTTAATAATTCTCTATTTGCTATTCTTTTGAGCAGTTGTGTTAGTCATTTTCTCTGTAATATTCATTATTTTGTATTATGATTCGCTAAAATTATAGAAAAAATACATTATTATTATTGCATTCGTGTGAGAGATATTTTGTTCAAAATATTTACAAAGGTCAATGAAGAACTTAAGAATGATATTAATAATTTGAAAGCCTCGTTTTTGGATGGCAATTTTGAGCCTCCAAAAATTTCAACTGAGCAAATATTGCAAACTATTGATGAATATTCCAAAAAAAAGGAAAAAGAACCATGTTGCCATAAACATCCCGGAGAAATCTACGGATGATGAAACTGCTATTGCGGATAGGTTGCTAGCAGAGAATATGGTAGCTGCCACTGGGATCAAGGCTGATTACATTAAGGAAGTTCGTCGATATGGAAGGAAGGGTTTAGGCAAGTCACGAGTATTTAAGATTCGACTTGGAGATAAGTACGTGGCTATGACTGCTTTGAGTAATAACAATGTGCGCTCGATTGTTTCCCCATGGAAGCTTCCACAAACAGTTGCGAAAAGAATGTCGTATGCAAAAATCAGAGCCTCAATTTGAAGAAATAGAAATCTTGTCAGAAATTTTCAAATAATCTTTCTAACTCACGCAACCTCACTAATGGTTTGCATCGATGAATAATTTTTCGATTCCACCTTTTTCTCATCAAACTACAACAGCCTAGGACAACTTGTCAAGTAAGATTAATAAAATAGGAAGTAATTTATCTTTATAAATCTTCATATATTTAATGCAAGAAATTTAAAATATAAACTTTACGATCTCTTACTAATTGATAACCCAAATAGTATTAATGGAAACGTTATGAAATATTTATTATAAATATTATATTAACGTTATGAAATAAATATAATGAAATATTTTTTGTATTAATGAAACGGAGTTGGATGACTCTACTGATAATTGGGAACTAAATTTTGACGGCTTTATAGTATCACGGAAGTATGTATAAGCTATTTAAATAATAAATACTCGTGGAAGTAAGCTTATCATGCTTATTTCTGATTATTATAAATTTGTAGCTTTTGATGGTTGTTCCTCATTGAATTTCTGATAACTAAAGTTTATTTTAATAACAGAAAATTTCCCTTCTAAATCTACACACTCACTATGGAATTAATTTCACTAGGGATCCTTACAAGCTTAAATTCTTCAACCTTTACTTAGATTAAAATTACTTGGTGCCGATCATGTAATTGTTGGTGATCCCAGTTTATTTCTCAATATGCCGAATATAGATTGGGAAAATAGTTGCTTGAAAAATAGCGGCAAATTTGACGAGGACTTCCTAAACCCTTGTACCTATATAGGTCTAGGGCAACATATTAAGATTAAAAAACACTATTTACACTAAAAACACTATTTTAGATGTTGTGTTAGCTATTCCTACTTCTCTTGTTGATAGCATTAGAGTCTTGGAACCTTTTTGTAATAGTGATTACAATATTATTCATGCTTCATTAAAATTAAACCATTATGTACCTCCCTCGAAATATTCTAAAAATTACTGTCATTTTGGTTATGAAATCTTTAATTCTATCTTCGCAGAAATAAGCTGGGATTTCTTATTCTATTTAACTCCCTGTATTGATGAAAAAGTTAATTTTCTTAATAGCATCATTTTATACCTTATACCTGGATTCTCTCTCAGTTCGTCGAATTAAACAAGATTTAATTTATACTTATAAGATTCTGTATGGTTACGTTAAACTATTCAGAATATTATTCAAAATATTATAATTTTAGGTTAAATTTAAATCCAACAAGAACTAATATGCTAAAATTATTAAAATTTATGTGTGAAACTAAGCTAAGAACTCATGATTTCTTTATTCTAATATTAATTACTGGAATAAACTACAAACGATCGATATAGCTTGTGCGTCATCCCTAATTATCTATAAAAAAAGAATAGATAATATCATTTATGATATTATTTAAAAAGCTCATGCAGGAAGGTTCAAATCTCGATTTTCATCATCCGATTATAGTTATTTCGAATTGTATTATATTACATTACTTTGTAATTTCCTCTTTATTTCCTCTTTAAATTTCCTCTTTAATTTTTTATCATATTTTCTTCTTTTTTTTTATCATTAATTCTTATTATTTGTTACTTTAACTGTTGTTATTAATATAAGCGCATGGCGTTTGTCGCCCTGTTTGGTTTTTGCTTTTCAATAAATAAATAAATATAAATTCTCACATTATCGTATATATCGTATATATATAATTTTCAATTTCTTTTTTCATTATTTAAACCACATAATTATTTGCCCTGCTTAGTGAAACGTTTGAATGAATAAATAGCTAAAAATTTTAAAAATAGTTGAAATTTTTTGTGGCTTAAATTTTCAAAAAAATTTAAAAAGTTAAGAAAGTGTTAAGAAAGTATAAAAAGTTAAGAAAATTAACGAAAGTTTTTGGTAGTTCAAAAGCGTTATCAATTAAGTTTTTTAAAGAAAATGACTTTTGGCAAAATAGTTTATTGAATTATTCGAACATGTTATCAAAATTTAGTTATTTAATGTGTTTAATATCCAGGTGCAAGTCTGGGAGGAGGACACTGGTCGCATCGACCTCGTTGACCATCATTACCTGGTGCACCAATTGCTCCATTTGGTCCTGCTTGTCCCTGATTCCCTGGCATGCCATTTTGGCCTTTTTCTCCTTGCCGTCCATTTTCACCCAAATTACCAGCTGTAATTTTATAGCTTGCGATAAGGTGCCATATTACTCATATATAATTACTGTAATTCCATAAAAAATTAAAAAAGTGTGAATTACTGTAAACTATAATAAAATTACTACAATAAAAAACATACGTGCTCCTGGGCGTCCTCGTGGTCCTTGATTACCAAGTCTTCCTGGAGGTCCAGGAGGACCTGGAGGTCCCATTTCTCCCTGATTTGCACGGCCTGGTTGTCCAGGGGGACCAGCACTACCAGCGTTGCCATTTTTACCAGGTAGGCCAACAGGACCAGGACTGCCTCTTTCCCCCGGTGCTCCGTCGTTACCTGCTGGCCCAGGTTCTCCGGACGTTCCAGGTTGTCCTCGAGGTCCAGGAGGACCCTGTGGGCCTGTAGGTGACTCGCAAGGACATTGCGGTGGAAATCTAGCTGCTGGATCATAATTTAAGGGTGCTTCAACTCCAGGTGGTCCAATATCGCCAATAATTCCGTCGACCCCATCTGCGCCATCAGTTCCTGGTGACCCTGGTGGACCAGGTGGACCTCGAGCACATGTGCAACATCCATTACTCTGGCGTCTTTGTCGGTCTTCATATTTCTCTTTCATTTCATTGACGGGTGTTTCTTTTGCTTCAGCCAATTTTTTTGCAGGTAATGACACATTCTTCTCTTCGCCAATTTTTTTCGCTTTTGCTTTCTTTTTGTTCTTTTTTTTGTCTTGTGAAAGTTTGCTGGAAGTTGAAGCAGCTCTTGCTAAACGTGCGATCCTTTCATCATCATCACCGATTTGCATATCCAGAAGTTCTCTCCACATTTCACCAATTCGCATCTGAAAAAATATACAATGAATGATACAAGTGAATAAAATGTAATAAATATTCAGCTAATATTTATTTCAAAACTATTAATTTACCTATGATTGCTTAGTTACTGAATTTGTATCAAGAGAAATAAACGAGACAGAGATCTAACGGGAAAATCTCTAATTTGTCTAAGTCTAATAGTTTGTAGGAATACTTTGCTCCCAAAACTAGTCATATCTCATGGCAAACTTTTTTCAGATTTTCAGATTCAGCTACAATCTTTAGAAGTTATTAGAATATATGATATATTAATATATTATATATATATTATTAACTATTTCTTACTTATGGCTATGGTAGCAATCATGGGCCAAAAAAGACGTGCTGGTCTCGCTTTTGGTAATAAAACCATTAATTTAATTTAGCTTTATTTTGTTATTATATTCTGGCTTTTAAGGTGGAGCCAAGTTTTCTTTTTTCGACTATAATCTGACCACTGCAGTTAATCTTTTCTATTTCTATTTATGATAGTCTGACAGTACCAATATTAATAGCCAGTTGAATGATCCTAACTGGAAACGGTGAATGCTTATCACTTATAATCCAGTTTAACATATTTAAATATTAAATGAAATATTTTCTCTATTCAGTAGTTCCACATTAAATTAGAATATAAAACTATAGTGCAAAAATCTTTTTTGAAATTAATTTTTTTGTTTTTGAATATTCATTGATTATTTTTTTGCAAGAAATTTGGATAACTGAATTCAACTGAACTGTAATAGGAATTATAGCGATAGACTTAACCGTTTTCACTAATGTTATAAAAAAAAGTTTTGAATATCTTTTTCTGATAAAAGAGCGATTTACATTAATGGAAAATTCCACAGACGAGAAATAAATTATAAAAGGATGAAAATTTAGAAGTGCAATTGGTCGATTAACTGGCTTATGAGTTTAGCTAAAAACAAAAACATATATATAAATAAAAAGCAAATGGACCCTTTTCCATTACGAACTCGTAAAGGATCGACAAATTATATAGGTTGAGGAAGAAGGATTTTTTATAGATTTTATGGATTGAAAGTGACTTCACAAAAATCGATTTCGCTTTGAGCTTGACTTTCCAGTGATTGCAAATGCGTAAAAAGAAGAGGGAAGACAACGAGGCATGAAGATACAGTTACTGTCGCTAAAATAGTAGCCATCACCGCCGAGTTCTTCATCGAAGGCTGCCGCGGCTTATCATTCATTTTTATTCTGAAATTTCGACGACAGGACTTTTCAATAAAAAATTTTCGACAAAACAGCAAAATAGCCTTAAATCGCCTAAAAATTAAAAATTTATCCATTTATTGATTTCTCATTTATTTGGAAGAGCAAAAGCCATGTACTTTTGTACTAACAGCAGTAACAAGAATAAAGGAAATAAAATGAAACTACAATAGTGAATGGGTGGACGACATGCTTGCGCTGAACACCATGCATAATTTATTTATACAATTATAACTATAAATTCAATTTCATGCAGTTGTTTATACTAATGTTAGAAGATAAAAAAATTATTCGAATAGTTGACTTAACGGTATGAATGAAAAATTCGTGGGAGATCAGTTCGGCCCTACAAACTGCTCTCTGCATCAATTATCTCAGTGTTCACATATTTCAGGAGAAATGATAGAATTTACAACAATGCGTCAGCCAGATAAATGCTGTTTGCCTGAGTGGAGAAATTAAAATACCAATCGCTAATTAATGAGTTAATTGCATAGTTTATGAATGATTTCGAAATGAATTTTAAAATAAAATAACTCGAACGTTATTAATAAACATTGAGGTAAGTCAGAATATTTTATATTAAGATGCGAAATTCCATATTTTCAACGAATAATTTAATCTACTTCACTTTTTTCGCATCAATTCTGGTTAGGCTCGCCACTGACTTTGTCCAATTAGACAAAATTTGCCATGGAGACACTTCGCGATAGAACAGAGGAGAATCGCCAGCATCACCAAGGGTTTCGAAAAGCAGGCTTACTTTTTCCATGAGTAGAATTCCAGCATCGACACTCGGAAATAAGAGCAACAACCCACAGAGCCATTTTACCCCTAATCCACCTTATAACGAAGCAAACAAACAACATGCCTGGATAATACCCATTTTTTGCCTTTAGGTTATTTTTGCTGTTTCCATGCTGATTTTCAACCAGAAAACAGTCGACTCGCTGAATATTACTGTTACTAAAAAAGCAACTCTCTTTCCCATCTACGATTTGTATAGATTTTTATGATTTTTAAAATAAATTTTCGGAAAAAATCAAGAAAGAAGAAGCTGTGGTCCATAAAAAGTTTAAATGACTGAAATACGCAACATAAGCAGGAAAAGTATTTATAGAAATTTCAAAACATGATAGTAATGAAACGGTAACGGTAGTGTGACAAGCTTAAAACGAGTTAATTACATAGTTTATAAATGGTTTCGAAATAAATTTTAAATTTGAGAACAGAAATGAATATAAGTGAATAACAATTTTAATATTTTTAATTTTTATAAACACTTTTAAAAACCTGTTTTGATTTTGTCTTCAAATTATTTCATTAATTAATTCTTTGCATAAAAATCCTTCGAAAACTTTCAAGGGACGATCGAGTGGACTCAGATAATCGTATTAAATATTCAGGTGCTCCCATATAGGATATCAAGAAATCGGAATGGTACGGCGATCTATTTATCAATGCTTCTCTCTGCAAATTTCTTGTCACACTGAGCTTACTTGACAGTTGGTGACGCTATTGTATTTACTTACTTTTGCTATTGCATTATGTCAGCTGTTTTGATTAAACATGACTAAGAACTCACTCTATTTCTTTCAACAAGTCTAATTAATAATACGCTGTAGAAGAGGAAGAAAATTTAATTCAACTTTTTAGTTGATTCTTATTTCTTCATATTAAACATCTAAGAGTAAATAAGAATGTATGAATAAACTGATGATCAAGATCATGCCATTTGGCTTAAGCTACGTGATTGTCGTCAGTGGATTAGTGGTCTCAGTTAGAGTATAGTTGCTTCATTTGGAGATCGATTTGCATAGTCATCTGAAGCTTTCATGAGCAGCTACAGTTATAGTTCATTCCAATTTCTTCGTTGTTCGTTAATTAATCTAAAATAAAATGGATTGATATCGGGTATATCCTATTTGGGTATACGTTAAGTTAAAGTTAAAGTTAATGAGTTAAAGTTAATGATGCTTTGACCAAACAAGAATTGAATTTTGCCATCCTTAAGATAAATTTTCATGTCAAACCAATCCCGCACGTGGCAAGTCAAATTTATCGCGGTGTCGCAGTTTTAGTCCTTTTCTCCTACTATATTAAATTTGTGCTGAAAAGTGCTGTCAATGGGATCCTTAAAATTGGTTCTTTTTCCAAATTATTGTTCTTCAGTATATCTTCATACAAACCATAAGAAGTATATATGAAGTATATATTTTGCCAAAATTTTATTCATTTTCTTTCATCCATTCACTATTTTGACGCCTAAAAAATATGGAATGAAACTTTTTCATTAATTTATTACGATGCGAATTGTATGAGGAACGCAAAATAATCAATTTCAGTAAGAAATTTAAGTTTTAAATTTAAATTTAGAAACCAAATCAGTAATGCAGAAAAATACTTTTGATTATTTTGTGCTTCCCTCTGAATCACAAAATCTGTTTGAGATTTGCGGAACTTGAACTGAGCCAAGGTTTAACCGATGCTTCAGAAAGTCCTCGTTTAAATATTTCATCGAGTCAGTCTCCTGTTATGCTCATTTGGGTTAAAATTACTCTAATCGATGAAAGAGTTGAAATTTGCTCAAAAACATACTTTCACGCGACTGTAAATGAACGGTGATGAGAGGAGAAATAGTAGATTAGCATCAGAATGATATGTTCAACTTTTGCATTTACGAACGAGTTAAAAAAATAAATATAGTTAAAGTGGAAATAAATATTTTATAGGTTTTTCCCATCCAAGATTTTGCTCCTCCGCATTTTCGAGATTTGACTTTCGAGATTTGAGCGGCTTCCCCTAAAACCGTTCCTTTTTCCTGTGTTGCCTGTGCATTCAAAATCACTCGCGATCGAGGATTTGATTGGTCCTCGTGGATTCGTGGCTTTTGATAATTGTATTTTCCCTCTCTCTTGTTCGGCATTTGCCATGCAATGAGACCCGTGCCAGTTACTAAAGTAGATGACGAAAAACGATCCGACCAGCGCACGTGACGCTTTGTGGCGATAAAGTGGATGCATGTGATATTCAGATACATGCATCATGCATAGCACGTGCAAGTATTTCGCTCCACTCGTCCTGCTGCTTATTATGATTTCTAAATGAATAAATAAACGCCATCACAAATTAAAGAATTTATTATAGTTGCAACATTTCCAGGTGAAAAGAAAGTTAACAGGTAAAGTCTGCGCGCATTTCTTCGACAAAAATCGACAATTATTTGATGAAATGCGATTATTCCATTCAGAAAAATTAAAAATAAAATTCAAAATTTAAGTTTAAATTTAAGATTTTTTCTACAAAATTTTTTAGAACTGAAAAAAATTAATTTTTATTTTTATTTAAATCAAATCAACTAATAGAATTTTGCGAAAAAACGAATATTTATTCAGCTTTTCTACTTTTCACATTTCTCTTCGTTACATATATTTTATTACTTTCGCCACTTTTCCGTTTCAATTTCTTATTAGTCAAATGAGAAAACTCATCCTTTAAATTCTTTAATTGAAGGACGAGCTCGAGCCGCGTTGCTTCGACGACCTGCTTGCAGGTCAAAGAGCCTGATGGCCAGTGCTGTGGGCCTTTGATCAGCAGTCTCGGCGGCTTCTCTGCGTTAAACTCCTTGGTTGATGGAGGTGAACCATCAGAAATCAAGTCGGGGAGATAATGAACAACCTATCTGCACTTCTGTCCTCAACTGTGCTTTTTTAACGAACGAATGATGCAAATAAAAACATTTTGTAAAATCAACTTAAAAAAAAACCTTAAAAAAATAAACCTGTTGAAATAAACCTTAAATCACCAAATCAGATAACAATTCACCTTGTTTAATTTCAGTCTCTTAAATTCAAAATCCACATTTCTTACTTCCCTCCGTGCTACAAAAAAATCCAAAAAAATCCCGCCCACATGTTTGAGGATAACAGTACATCGTGCGTACGAACGTGCGACCGAGTTTTATCGGAACGAATTTTATAATTTTAGCGATTCATCTCAATCAATATCGATCATAAATGTCCGTTGTCACTTAATAAGAATCGTTCTGGTTTCAAAAGTTTTTGGAGGAGTAAGGGGAGTTGATTCAACTCCTGTAATAAGCAAGGGGGGCTCATTGGTCGTTGAGGAGGTCGTAGGTTATCAGCTGCAGTTGGAGACAGCAGCCGCACTTTAGGGTTTTCTGGATTGGTTACTTTTGTTTCTTAATATTCACACTGGCTTCAATTTTTTAAAAAATAAACATGCATGTATCTAGTGTTATTTGTAGTCGCGATTGATGTGCGTCAGTTTCTCGTCTGTTACATATTTTTGCTCAATGCAATCGTTAAATCGAGCAATTATCTGAAGTCCTCAATAAAATTTCGAATGCATTCCTTCGATTTCTTTTTAGTATTGAGATAAGTTATCGAAATTATAGCTGTTATCACCACATTGTCCTTTCCACTGATAAGTGACGAAATCAGCGATAAGCTGCTTGTTCTTATCATCATTTTAGGAGCTATTTGCGCCATTGATTTATTGATTTACTGGCTTATAACTTTTATGTTAAATTGTTACGACCATTTTACCTTTTCCTGAATAGCAAAAATCCATTTTTTTCACTTTTATCAGTGATTAGCAGTAATTTATTATTGCGGATCTCTAAAATTTAGTGGCTGTTAACATTTACTTTATATATTACGTTTTGTGGGCTTAAATTGCTTTATAAATAATAAATACTAAATTTAGCCTCTTTTGCCGTAATACTCAGATTTTTAAAGAATTTATTTTTTATTATATTTTTTAGATTAATCGGAATTTTTAATAAAATTGGATTATATTAATTAGAGCTGCAATAAATTATTTGAGAATTAAATTATTTGAGAATTTTTTTAATCATGTCGGATGGTCTCGTACAACGGCGAAGAAATCCAGCATCTACTACAAAATTCGTTGAAGTAAGTAGTTTTTAATTAAAGTAATTGTACTTATGAGCTTATTGGTTTATATTTATGTTTGGTTGACTAAAAGTTTTTCGCAAATAAATATTTATTAGATAAAATGATTTCAAAATTTAACAGATTCTTTGCTATTTGCTTTTGCTTTTCTTAAAATTTTTGGTTTTTACTTTTATATTTAATATTTTTAATATTTTATATTTTAAATGGCATATTTTTTAATGGAATTATAATGGCATGTGAATTAATTACACTATAAATTGTTTTTTCTTCTTTAATTTTTTAGGCAGCGAAAAATGATGTTGAAGAGTTAGATTCAGATGGTTTAAGAGAAATGGAGGACGATAAGGCATCTCGTTTTACATTAATGGAACAGATATTATTATTAGGTCTTAAGGACCGTGAGGTTATTTTTTTTATAATATTTGTGAAATCTTTTTTCTCACCATGCTCACCATTTATGGTTTGGATCTCCGTTTTGTTATCTAATCGGGGCAAGCAAATTTTACGAGAGAAATATTTCGAATTGGAAGTACAGATGACTCGCCAGCATCTCCCGGACTTTCGAAAGACAGATTTGTTCTTGCAGGGAATAAAATCCCAGCACAGCCTCTGAAATAAGAATAAGGGAACAACAGAACTATTTCTATTTCCCTATATGAATTCAATTATCATTGTTTAATTTCCTATTATTGATTTTTTGTGAGAAAGTATTACTGTATATCGGTTTTTATCAAAAAACAATATTTAACAAAAAACAACAACAAAAACAAACAAATGAAATTCTCAAGTATATAAAATTTGTTTAAATAATATTAGTGGAATTAAATATTTGTATGACGAAATTAGATATTATTTACATTTTTATCTTATTTTTTGTAAATATAGTGTAAATCAGTAAATTTATCGTTATTAATATATCAAATTATATGCTCTCAATTACTGTAGTGTAACGAAATTATTTATTTTAATTTAGGGTTACACATCATTTTGGAATGATTGTATAAGTAGCGGTCTTCGCGGATGTATTTTAATAGAATTGGCTTTGAGGAATCGAATCGAACTTGAAAAAGTTGGAATGCGAAAAAGAGGTCTTCTCTCGCGCAAGGTGCAGTTTTTATGCCTTATTCTTGTTTTTGCAAAAGGTGAATTCGATTCTCATTTCGACTTTTTTAGTGACTTTTTTCTGTGGCATAATAGTAAAAAATTGCAATATAAAAATGGCAGAGTAATTGAAAAAACAGCTAGCCTTTGTTTAAAACGTCATTCTAAAAAAAATACTTTATTATCAAAAATTCATTAGTTTTTAGGTACTTTTAAAAAGTGAACAACCTACTGGTGATGTGATATTAGATGAAGCATTAAAACATATCAGAGAAACAAAACCACCGGAAACCATTACCAGCTGGATTGAATATTTAAGTGGGGAAACGTGGAACCCACTGAAATTACGTTACCAGGTTATTAGCTTGTTGAAATGTTGATCCGATCATTCGATGAGATAAACTTTATCGAAACAGCAAGTACATATGGTTTATTTTTATAAAATTTTTTATTAAAATTTTAAACAAAATTTAGGTATTCTTGAACTGCTAATCGAGGTATGTAGTAATATATTTTAGCTTCGCAATGTGCGTGAGCGATTAGCAAAAAATTTAGTGGAAAAAGGTGTTCTCACAACAGAAAAACAAAATTTTCTGATTTTCGATATGACTACCCATCCACTTCATGATGGTAATACGAAACAAAAACTTATCAAGGTATGTTTTTCGATAAACTATATAATTTACGGCAAAATTTTAAATTTGTAATAATAAAAAAATTTCAAGAACAGCTTTATGAAAAATTTAATAGTATATAGCGAATAAGCATAAAATACCCATTTCATTGATTTAGCAATTACAAGAGGCTGTACTATCACGCTGGACAAATGATGTTCAACGGATGGATAAGAGAATGCTTTCACTTGTTATATTAGCGCATGCTAGTGATGTTCTTGAAAATGCATTCGCACCACTTTCTGATCAAGTAAATAATTTCTTATCGACAAGCAAATAGTGTACAAAAATGTTTGAGTTATCATTCTTTTCAATTTTAGGATTATGAAGTAGCGATGAAACGAGCGCGATTTCTTCTCGAACTTGATTTTGCTAATGAGAGTAATAAAAAAGGAAACGCTTCAAACGATGTTATGTGGGGAGTATTCGAAGCATTCAGCAAATAAACTTTTTTTCTTAAATTCTTCCTTTCTTAATGATTCTTATATTTTTCTTTGAAATTAAAGATTGTGATTCAATGATGATAGGGAAATTATGAAATTTTTGCCTTAATACTGTTTATTGTGCGATTTTATTGGCCATAAAGTTTGTAATTTCTTGAGCGGGTATGCAGACTTTTAATTCCTTGCTTTTAATCTGAATAAATGAGTAATTTCCATGAATATTTCATTAATAGCGTCTAAAAATCATAAGTATTTTAAAATTTAAAAAAGTGATTCTTGGTTAGAATTTTTTAGGTATTTAGTTGGCTCTTTCAGTGATTAATTCCATATGTTTCGAAATGAAGAAATTAATTTATTATGCTATTGTTCCTTGACAATTTGTACTGAATTTTGAAAAACAGTCTTTTCGCTTTTACTGTTGTTTTTCACTTTATAGATTTTCTTCGTCTATATGGTAAAGTAAAAGGATTATGAAATTTCATATTTTCCAATTTTCCCAGATTCTGTGGACATTTGGGTGAATTTTTTCAGATTAGATACAAATGAAAAGAATTGAAAAATCATCGGTAAATAAATCATTATCAATAAATAAATCATCGGTTTCATATGAAATATGAATTAATTAAAAAATCTTTGTTGATAGGCTAGCCAATGTATTGATAAGCTATTTTTATTGTGCCTTTATAAATCTAATCTGAATTGTATTTTTTTTTATTATTACAGCCATATTTTATTTATTGATGGAATTTTTCGGCACCATATTGGATATTTTGATCTTTTAAATGTTCTGTGATATTTTATCAGTAACTTCATAATTTAATTTATATTTAATATAATTTATATTTTTAATATTCCATCAAATTTCATTTCAGCACACTATTCATATTTTTGCATCGAGACAGAAAAGTGGAGATTTATTGTGAAGATTCTAATTAATTTTGTTTTCATTTATTTTACTTTACTGGCTACCTGGGTTCCGGTGAGTATGGATGGAGTTCTATCATTATAAAGATTTTATTTCTAATGTCAGATTTGCTATTACTCAAATTATGATGGTCGGACTTACAATATTTGACCTCATTTAACAACACTCCCATAAACCATACTAATTTGCATTATAGAACTATTTATTTAGTTTGTTTTCATTGGCTTGAGGCTATTTTTATAAATTTTCTATTCATTTTTTCTTTATCTCTTATATTATGTCTAAAAATCTGTTCTTATCTATTTTAATCAATTTGTTGTTATATTAATATATATTATTAATTATATATTATTTCCATGATTTTATATTGGTTCAGTTGTAAATTAAATTTTATCGTAGCTTTTTTTGGATTTAGATATGTATAAATATATTTCTTTTTAGAAGATCCTGAAATTCTATGATTCAATAAGAATGAAAACTTTAGTAGTTTTCATTCTTATAGATGAAAGTAAGAATTAGTGGTTTATATTTTGTGCTTTCGTAAGTTTATCTATTAACATGGATTTTGTAGTATTTATCATCGTTGTTTTTCGTTTGTGTTTAAGGTACTGTGCTGGTGGGCATTATTTCAGTTCCCGAATATATCTCTAGTTCGTTCTTTTGTTTTGTATTTTTACATATTTATAAACATGAACTTTTGATCGAAAATTTGTAGTTTATTTGAGTGAAAAGCAGTGTGTCTCTTAATTTTTTTTCATGATGGTGGGTTGTTGGGTTTACGTCAAATAAATGTGTTTATGATTTATTGCAGGAATTTTACTGCGATTTTCAGGAAAAATTCGAAAAAGAAATGGGAGAAAAGGATTAATTGTGAATTGTGATTAATTAATGGATTTTCTCTTTCTTTTAGATAATTTAAATTTCTTCAGTATTGTTTTTCATTCATTTATTTCAATTCGAGGATGATGAACCAATTTGATAAAATTTTTTCTCCGTTTTAATGGATTTCAAAAGAATTCATGATGGTTGAATTTATTAGAATTCGTTGCGGAAAGGTTTAGAAATAATATGGAATAAATTCGAATGAACAGGGATGTAGCGATATGATAGTGGGGAAGGCGAGTGGCGTTTATTATTTAAGATGCGGCTTCGCATCGAGAAGCGTCAGTCTTTCAGCAAGCGGAACCAGCGTAACTTATATTGTTGGAACAAGAGAGATTGTATATTCAATATGGGGAAGTGGCAGTTAGCAGCTTCTGAGAGGTTTTGTTTTGAGAAAGTGACTTCGTTTTGAATGCCACACAGCTATCGGATTGTGGGTCTTAAACGTAGATAGAGGCGAAAAAATAACCCATTGTTATGCTATTAATTCATGGATATCGCATGTTTTGTCGAATTCATAATCCCGCATTACCAGTTTATTTGTCCAAAAAATTTAAATTCGCCATTTGTGGAAACCGGAAAATTTTTTTTTGGCCACCAGTCAATCTATTGAATTCTTCGCTATAAACTATAAAAACAACTGTGTCTTATCAAATAGGAAATTAGATGATAATTCCCTCAAAATCGCTCTTTAATTGAGTCGAGTACGTTGTTGCTCAATTCGGAGTGCCGATGCCGAGGTGCCAGCAAGCGTAAACCTGTGCAGGAATCCGCGTGATGCTGGCGATTCTCTTGTGCTTCTATCGCAAGGGACTTCCTGGCTTGTTTAATGCAACAAGCCAGCGGAGCGAGTCTAACCAGAAGTGGTGGGGGCTCTTAAAAAAAAATTTCTTAATAAATTTCAAATTTTTGAACAAATTTCAATTCGGTTTCGATAGTTGGTATTTAAATTTATGCGTCGTTCGCTCGAAATTATCAATTAATAGCGATAGCTGATATTTAAATTTATGCGTCGTTCGGTCGAAATTATCAATTTATAGCAACGAAAATCAATCAAAAGTCAAATTTTTAATGGTAAACAAACTGATGAGAATTTCTGGAGTCATTCTAGATTCAAAGAATTTTTCCTCTGAGTCGGTTTCTCTTGCAAGTGATCCGGGAGAAGTTGAGTAATTCTAATAATAATAGTTTTTTCTGAATAATTTTTAATAGTTCCTTTTTTAATTGAAGTTGAATATTAGCATTTCATCGTTCGGCTCATCCTCTAGTGCAAGCAAAATGCTTATGCTTATTTTACTAATTTTACTAACATTTTAGGCAAGGAATGAAATATTCATAAAATATATGATAAAGTTCGTTAAAAATTACTTATTCAATAATAAATATTAAAAAAAAATTTATTCACTGCGAGGCAAAAAGCTATGGTTTTCAATTAGTTCATTAACTAATCCGGCAATGAAGCTGGTGATTTCTTCTTTAACCGAACTTGGTAAACGACTGAAGATTTCATTAATTTGTCGTCCTTCGTCAATTGGTGTTAGATTTGAGTCACCGAAAATTGTACCCAATTCTCCAATCGCTTTTTTCGCCGATTCACTTAACGACGATTGTTCCATTTGTTTTTCTACAAAATCTCCAAGCACTTCCAAATCACTCATAAGAACATCAATTTTTTTCTGAAATTTTTCGAAATTTTGACATTGAAATTTTTTGAAAAACCAGAAAATGGTTGTAAATTTCGAAAAAGGTTGCCTGAACTTCTGGGATTTGAGAACTTTTCCATTTCAAAATTTCATCGCTAATTTGTTGCTTTGTTGCTGTCGTATTTGAAATAATCGCCATAAATTGTTTAGCATTTTTGCAATCAACATTTGATAAAGCATTTTCGCTCATGCAGCCTGCATTCCGTGTTTTGCGTTGTTGCATGACTCGCATAAGTTCATGCATTACATTTCTAATTTGTTTCAGATCCTCCTTCTTTAGTCCTTTTTTAATTTCTTCAACTTTTTGCTTTATTTGTGCCAGTGTTAAGTTTTTATTGGTTTTAACTGTGTGCAATTGGTTCGCTTTCTCTTTCAGTTCATCGCTTAGCCGGGATTCCTTAATTTTTTCTAGAAATTGTCTTTCCATCTCTTCAGTAAAGTTCTTCACTCGGTTGTACGTCGTCTGAAACTATTTTTCATTATTAAAACTTTTTATTATCAGCCATAATATATAGAATATGATTCCTTGAAATTCTTACCAAAGTGGAACCACCCAATTTTTTGGCCCATGCATCGAGTTTATCATCAAGTTCTCGCTTAGTTAAATTTTCCTTCTTTAAAATACTTTCAAGTTCCTTTTTCGATTCTTTGGTTAGATTCACAAATTTTTTTGCGAAATTTTGACTTCCATCATATCCTTAAAATAATTAAAATAATTAAAAATAAAATAATATTTAAAATATTTTTAGAAACTGGAATATATAATTTTAAATTTAATAGTAGAAATTTGGTGTTCATTGCTCATCTGGCTGCTAGTATGATTAGAAATTTTGCCGAAAAGTCACTTGGAGACAGAAGTTGATGGCCAGCACTAGCTGCCATTCTTAGGTTCGAAACCAGAATCAATCTGAACTTTTGCCTTTCAAAATTCTATTTATAAACTACTCAATCTCTCTGCACCCCCAATTTAAGAAAAGTTAATCAAAAATTTAAAGTGGCGAATCTTAGAAATTAAAACTATTGTCATCTATCAACTGTTGTCGTAATTAAGAATAAGAATAGTTACCAAACTATCATTAATGAATAATAAACTTCCATTAGATATGTTTAAAAATTATAAAAATTATTGTGGCATATTTTTTCTGAATTTTTTATTATTCTTCTTTCAATAGCACTTTTGGTTTGGTCAATCTGACTAATGGGATGAGACTTCTTCGCTAAAGAGACACTTGGGAATAGAGGTACAGAATCAACGGGCACCTTGACAAAAGGCATGAACCAAACCTATACTTGATTTTCATCTTGTAATCTCACTTAGATCTTACACTGGAGTCGAAACAATACTCGATCATTATTTTTCCAGTAATTGATGTCAATTAACACTTATTAACACTTGAAAGTAAATAAATAAAAATAGCAAAGTAAATAAAATAAAAAATTGTTCTGAAATTTTTTTATTCATGAAATTAACCGATAATCATCAAACTGAATTTCATTATCACAAAAAGAAGGAAAGTTATAAAAATTTTCGCCAAATTTAAAGAATCATGGAAAGCATACGACAGCATATTTATTTTCTCTAGCATTACTGGTTATTAGGACGAGATTGCTGCTGCAAGTTAGCCACTAGAGAATAGAACTACAGGCGGTTCGTCAGCAGCCTTCCGAATCAACAAATCATATTGGCGAAATTTCTTTTTATGCAAGGAACTCACCATCGAAATTATCGGAGTCATCATGTTCCGAACAAATCATGCTAACATAGATAACGAAAATGATCAAATAATGCCTCATGATAAGATTCATCGAACTGTGAACTAATTCAACTGGTGGGGGGGGGGGGGCGTTATTTATATAAAACTCTTAAAAAATCAGCGATCATTATTATGGGATTAGTTCGAGTCATAATAAAGCACACACTTTTCACGTAATTTTCACTATAATAAAAATCAAATATAAGTGAGATTGAATAAAAAATAATTAATGGATGAATTCAGCCTTCCAAACTCTCTTTTAATAATTTTCATCTTTTACAAAATTTATATTTATTAAAAATTAATAGTTTGTAAAAACCGGAAAAATTTTATTTTCGATTTCACTCGATTTTTTGTGATCCAATTTGTCTTTAATGAGGCCAAAAAATTTCTTTGCAACTATATTTCTTTATAAACCTTTTTTCATAGACCTTTTTGCACATTTTTGTAATTTTTGTTATGAATTTCCTTATTAAATTGTTAGATTGATGATAATAATATAATAATAAAATAATAATAAATAATAATAATAATTAATAATAATTAACAATAATAAATAGCAATAATATTAATAATAAATAGTAATAATGACAATAACAATAATAATATATGGTATATAATATCTTAGATTGATAACAATAGTAGGATGGCGAGCGAAATATGGGCTTAAGTGGTGAAAAAAGCCTCCTTTTAGATTTGGTCGAGCGACATGGAAACGCTTTACTCTTTGAACACATAATAATGGCAGTAAAAGTGTATAGGCTGTTAAGAATAGAATTTATTGGAATAAATGTTACTCAGCAAATTATATTACAATGCAATTGCCGGGTAATGCTAACCTGTATTTCTGTCGTCAAAGAACTCCCTGGCATATTTATCCGATGCGACAAGCCGGCGCGGAACGAGTCTAACCAGCAATGGTGAGGGATCCTAGAAAAGAAAAAATTACACAATCGTGAATGTGGAACTTGGGTTTTGAGTGGTAATATCTTTCGGGGATCTTCGTAATATTAGCAAAGCAACTTTCGTGAAGGAGTTGAACTTTGCTATCATTTATCATTTATAAGTGTGTGCTTTATTATGACTCGAACTAATCCCATAATAACATGCTTGACAAATCTTCATGTCATTGCATCACTGATAAAGAGATAATGCAATGAAAATGTTGTAGCCTAGAAAGCTTCTACTTTCAGGATATTAAATTCGGCTAATATTCTTTTTCCGTTAATATTAATTCGCCTTAGCCGGCCCGATTATTATAACGATTAGAATGGTGTCCTTTCGTCTGAGATCATTTATCGATAAATGTCCACAGCAGGATCCACATGCCACTTTTAAGCTTCACAGTGGATAGAAGTGGAACCCGTTATCTGCTAAAGCAACATGTCCTTAGATCAGTTGATATCCTACGCTTTTCCTTCTTAAATTGTACGTTATCTGAACTTGATTTATTATTTATCAGCTTTTTATCGATTCGAATGTATTTAAATACTTTCCATAAGAATACCAAATTATTTGTTTCAATTCATAATAAAGAATTATCGAATAAAAAAGGAATGAAATTTAAGATTATAAAAATGCTTGCTTGCTTTGATCAGTAATGCTTGACACTATTACTGATAAGGATTACTGATAAGGTGCCGATTTTACCTTACTTTTTTACCTTACTTAAGCCTTGCGAACCCGTGAAAAGTTACCGCGGCAGTATGCAAGCGAAATCGGATCGGCAATATCAGATAAATACAATGCTGATAAAACATCGGAATGACTGAGAAAAATATAATTTGAAAGAAAAGAGCTGCATGGAACGACTAATTCGAAATCCTATATCTCGAAACGAATTGTGGCGCAGTTTCGGGGCTTTGAATTTAGGAAAGGATGAAAGGGGAAGGAATGAGGGGAGAGATGGGGGTGGAGGTCGTATTTCCGGGGGGGGGGGTTACAACCATTGAGGTGGTAAGGTTAAATATTACTGAATGTTACAATTAAGCCGAGTGGAGTGTTTATAAACTAAAATTTGCAAATTTAATAGGGATTCTTAAATTGCATTCTTTTTGCTTTTAATTGATTATTTTACATACAAAGAAAACAAGAGAAGTGGATGATTTTCTGTTTTTTGAAGGTTTTTATTGTGTTGAGAATACTTCTTCGTCCATTTTAAAACATTCTTGGTATTTTTGAAGTGGATATTCGGAAGATTTGCATTTCGAATTTTGTCATCATTGCAGGGTATTTTTCTTTTCGGATTGTTTAATAGAAAAAATATTAAAATAATTTTCAGAAATCGAAGAGAAATATCGGGGAAAATTAACTTGGATTCCGTGAATTCAGTCATGTTGATGCCAACGAAAAATCGTAAAGCAATTTATGAATATTTATTTAAGGAAGGCGTTTGTGTTGCTAAAAAGGATTATAATTTGAAAACGCATCCTGACATTCCGAACGTTCCAAATCTTCATGTTATAAAGGCATGCAAGGTAAATTTTTTTTTTGAAATTTATTCAAAACTTCTTTTTCTTATTTAAAACTTCTGGGAATTATTTTTTTAAAATTTTACTTCTGTAATTTATTTATTTATAAATTTCACCTCTGTATTTTATTCTGTTCCGTTCCTCAGTACTTCGAGAAATAATTTTAGGTGTCTCAGCTTTTAACACTCCTGTAATTATGTATTATCATTTTTAATGTATTATCATTTTGTTATCATTCTTTGTATTGTTTTCTTTTCACTTTAAAAAGTAAATGTTAGCTGGAGACTGGTGATTTTCATAAATTTTCTATGAAATGAATGCCGTTTCTTCAAAAGATAATTAAAAAATATCTGGAAATTAGAGGTAATCAAGCCTTAATCAAACCTTTGAGCTGACGGCAAAAAGTTATCCAAAGGCAAACAGCATTTGTTCAAATGTAAAATAATCGAAATAAATCCTCGTTTAAGAATTTATATAAAAAAAAATAAATGGTTGACGTACATCATTTGTTTAGGCTTATTTCTCTGGGTGTTACTGCGTTGAGAAATTTTTATTAGTACTTGCTAATACCAAATGTGGATCAACAGTACCAATATTTTTTAATAATATATGGAGGCATAATTTTTAATAGTTTAATTGTTTGTTACGTTTTCATTTTAGAGTTTGGCATCCAGGGATTATGTAAAAGAGCAGTTTGCTTGGCGTCACCATTATTGGTACCTAACAAATGAAGGAATCAATTATTTACGAGAATACCTCAGTCTACCTGCTGAAATTGTGCCAGCAACTATGAAAAACAAGCCAAAGGAAACTCGACCTGCATTTACCGGCGATCGTCTTGCTCGTGGTAGGCTAAGTTTTTTTTTTAAAATTTTTGCATTCATATAAGTAATTTCCGAATTTGCTAAACATCATTTTTCTGGTGAAAAACGGTAGAAAAAAATGTATTGGTATTATTATTGCGAAAATTGCATATCACACTTCATAGCTTTGCAATTGAAATAGTGGTATAGTGGTATAACAGAAAATAATTGGCGATAAAATTATTTCAATGTTTTACCAAAGTCAATTTGTTGATTTGGTTATAAATACAGGTCCTAAAGTTGATAGCGATAGAGAAGCTTATCGTGTAGCGGAAAAAGCGACAGAAGCTGGACCCGGTGCAGCCCCCGTTGCAGGGTATCGTGGCGGTTATGGTAGAGGTGCAGCACCTCTGTGATTTTCATATTTTTTATTAGTTGCTTTGAAGCGATAAATGTTTATATTTATATTTTTGATATTTCTGCGCAACGAAATTGGGTATTTGTAGTGTGATGAGGTTGCAAACATTGTGATGGGTTCTGAAGCGATTGTCTAAATCGTATTGCGTGGTGCTAATTTGCAGTTGCGGGAGTACTGTAAAAAGATTGTGCTTCCAATCGAGAAATAGTGACGAAATATTAAGTGTAGGGTATGTGATAGTGGGGTGGGGATGTTTCTGTCGAAATCAGTGGAGGAACTGAGGCGTGTTTTGTGAGTTGATGGAGCTGATGAAAAGCGGATATACTGGTGTGGTGGATAAATTTTAAGAATGGGATCCTTCATTTCCCTCTCTATTTTTGGGAGTATATTTTTCATTTTCGCTTTGTTACGCTTTGCGGTGGTTGCTGATCTCAGAATTGGGATTGGCTTACAACAGTGATATTATATTAAGGAGGTTATATGCATACGGCAAAATTGCCCGTCGATGTTGTTTCTAGTATTATATCGTTCTAAAGCATTTCTTTATAATGCTGTTTTTTTATTGCTATTTTTTGCTGTTATTTTATGAGCGCATTAAATTTCATCCATTTCTTTTTCTAAATAAATAAGTAAGACTATTCGCTATCTTGAAGACTGCCATTAATTGCTCATTATAGTGAATTTTAAATTCAAAGAACTATAGTGTTAAGAATTAGCTATATGTAAAAGATTTCCATGGTTTCCGCGACTGTTTCAGGTCAACTCAGCTGCAGGTAACTAGTATCTGCTGATACTTGCTGTGAGGAGTAATTGGTTCGTTTCACCTGAGGTCTAATTCGACTCCTTTCGAGCGGGGTAAGGCAAGATTTCAGTCGAAGTCGACATTCATCAGTTGTCACGCAGGTGCTACTGGTACCTAAACTCTATAGGTGGCTACTCTGGTATACTTGTAAACTGTTTCTAAACTTGTGGCACTAAAATGATTTTGGGGAATATCGTATTATGCGAGTTATTCTTTTTTTTCGGATTTTGATTGATTTTTTGATTTTTTTCGGATTTTGAGACTGTAATATGGGCTATGAACCAGTCCGTGAAGGCCAGAGCACAAGCAGCTAGATAGCTATCTAACATAGCTATCTAGCTATCTAATTTTTTCAACGGTAATTAACCAAAATATCAGGTAGAGAGTTGTAGGTGCAAATAGGTTTTGCTGTAAACATGAATTGGCAAAAAATTCATTCTCCTTAGTAAAACAGAGGCGCTCACTACTGCATATCGTCCTACGACTACAGAAGATGGTGAGATAACGTCAAATTATATGCTTATTCAAATCATCCAAAGTTACATCGTTTTTGGAATGAATAAGCAAGTTTTGCTTAGAATACAATTAAATTTTACTTAATTACTCTTGCCATAACCATTTTCAGGCAAGTTCGCATATTAATATTTATCTCAACATGTGAATGTTATTTAAGAGACGAGTCTTTTACCATAAGCAATTTGAGAGGCAATTGGATTTATGATATATCCAAAATTTTTTTTGGAATAAAAAATTTGTAAAAATTCTGTTTTAGGTTTAGCACAGGATGAAACTTGAAACTTGTATATATTCTGGTTATAAGATCTATCCAGGACATGGAAAGAGACTTGTTCGTTCTGATGGCAAAGTAACTTTTTTGTTATTTTCTCTAATTATCTTTTTTTATTAACATTTTACTAACATTTTTTATTTTCTATATTTTATTTTAATACATTTTACTTCAATCTTATTATCAAATCATTTTGGAAATCTAAATTTGATTTTGGACATTTCCTACAGTCGAACCAGTAGAATTTTTTACAGTCTTGCAGTTAAAATTAATTTTAGTTACAAATTTTTCTATCCAAGAAATGTCAGCGGTCTTCTAAACTAAAACGTAATCCTCGCGACGTTCCATGGACAGTGCTATATCGTCGCAAACACAAGAAGGTGATATTTTTTGTAAAATTTTTGAAGGAAAAATTTTTTGAAGAAAATTTTTGAACTTTTTAACGCTAATTTATCAAATTTATTATAGAACACAAAAAGCGAATTATCGTGGTTATTAGCCGTATAATTTTACTTTAAAAAATATTAAATTTTTTATTAATTTTTTATGCCATTCATAAAAGTATGTTCAAATTAATTCTTATTATTTTCTTTTAAGGGAGTTCATGGTGAAGAAAATGTGCAGAAAAAACGAACGAAGAAAATCGTTCAAGTTGCATCTCGAGCAGTAGGTAATGTAACTCTTGAAGCAATTCTTGCGAAACGTAACCAAAAGCCTGAATTTCGTCGCGTGCAGAGAGAACAAGCCATTAAAGCTGCTAAAGATGCTGCTCGTGCTTTAAAAAATGAAAAAAAGGCGGCCAACAAATTGTTAAAGGTACATTTTCTTTTTTATTTAATGGTATCAGATTATTTATTTGCATTTAATGCAATGAACAGCAATGCAGAAAAAGTAAAGTAACAAATTTAATTTTTATTGTAATGATGTGAAAATTGTAATATCATTCACCGATATCGAATTATGAAAGCATAGGATTTTGAAGAATATTTTTAAAGAATATTTACGTGATTTCAGGATAAAAAAGCAGTGGCCCCAAAGATGAAGGCTCCTAAACCAGCAAAAGTTCCTCAGCCACGAGTTGGCGGAAAGCGATAATATATTTGAAAAAGGAATATAATATTTGTCTTTAAAAAGTTTAAAAGTTTTGTTTTGTCCAGCTGGATAAATTGGTTTGAGAACTATAAAATTTTGTCAGCACATTATGCATTTCAGCTCATTTCACGATTCAGTTATTCAGTTATTTATTTGGTGATCTGTGGAAAAGATGTGGAGTTCTGTACATCGATTATAAATAAGTTTTATTCATCATCGCGCAGAAAAAAAAATTTCGAAGGAAGATTTCTGATAGATTTCATGATCATCAATTAAAGAAAGGAAGAAGAACTCAAGTTCTCCTATTAGCGTGTTGTGAGTGACTGAAGTTTTACAGGCAGAAAATTTGAATAGGAATGACATCTACGTCAAATTAAATTGTCAAAGCCCTCGCATAAAGCTATATCATTTATCCTTGCCTTCCTCCGAGGCATAAATATTAGGTTTTATTTTTTCGAAAATGGGTTTTTATTAATTATTATTTTTTATTAATATCAGTGTATCGTGTTTTGATGTTTATCGGATATAAAAATAATTATTTTATATGATTTTTTTTTCAAAAACTATAGGTTCGAAAATTTTTCACTAAAGGGATAATTCTGATAACGATAATGATGAATAGAAAACATAATATGGTTATTATTGCTGATAACTAAGTGGACTATACTGGAAAAATATGGATGTTTAGATGGAAATATTTGGAAAATAGATGTGATAATGGTAGATATGATATGAATAGATAATTTTTTTAAGGGTCGTAAAATAGTACTTTTGATCATTATAGAGATATGATTGATTTTAGTTTATGGATTCGATAATATAGAAAGCGGAATAGAAGAATTTTCCGTTATTCATTGAACGAATAAAGGGTTCATTCGATCAATTAGTAATAACGCAAGAAGACGAATAAAATTTCGTAAATCGTTCAATTGTCATAGATAAATGAACGAATGAATGAATAAATAGAAATCAGTTCATGGTATAAAATCAAGAACTTTTTGAAATTTTCAATAGTAACAATAGTAATTAAGAAATTAACAAAGGGGATTATGAAGCTAAGAAAGCAAAGGCGATAATGAGAATAATGAAAATTTATGAGATACGGAGAGGAAAGGGATAGAAGAGGGGAAGGAGCGGAGGAAGATGGGGAGGGGGGATGGGGGAAGGGGGTGGGTGGTGATGATGGCGATGCTGATGCATATGAGAAGAGATGTACGATGTAAAACGAACGAAATCATTAGTAGTTGTAAATTTAAAACAATGAAAAACAATTGAAGCAGAACAGGTAGTTTAGAAAATTGTTTAAAACGATAAGAGTTTTGTATACTATCGGAAATCACTAAAATAGAACACGTCGATAAGAGAGATATATATTGTCGAAATCAGCGATTAACAAAGAAGGAAAAATTTTTGATCGAGGCGTTGTCATGATCGTTGTCATCGTCCAGTCCAGAATCGGCCGTTGTTAAAACGGCGATACAACCAGTCGTTTCGATCCGTTTAAAAAAGAAAACCATCATTAGGAGGACGGCTGATAGAACGACGGTGCTGCCTTAGGTTATAAAATATATTCGTGAAAAAGACGTAGCAAAGATGACAACGACAACGACCCATCCATCCGTTCATGTTTCGCAAATTTCTTTCTTACACCGCCCCCCACTTACCTACTAAATTCATTCTCGGTTCTAACTGTACTTGGTTCATAAGTCGATCCGCCTTTCTACGTACCATTAATAATACCAGCCTTCCCCAAGGCTATTTCTTTGCTGGCTATTGATATTATCACCTCGGGCAAGACCAGTTCACGCCAAGTTATTCTAGGTATTCCATACTTCGCTCGCCGCCCACCATTATCGTACGACACTGATTTTTGTGGCCTGAGGCAAATTTTTGACTACTGAATAACGTGGATTCCAAGCTATGAATGTGAGTTTGTCAATGCATTTTACTATTATCATCGATATTTGTATGCATATTTTGAATGATTACATCATAATTCTTGCTTCTTATAGTTCCTAATGAAATTTTACACGATAAATTTCACGGAGATTTAGTAAATGGAAGCTGAAGACGAAGAAGAAACTAATATAATAATAAAAACCGGTTAGGATTATAAGATGGTCCCGTCCGAATATTTTCTTTAAAATATTCTTTACGAACTTAGAATTTAGAACTTTAGCCAAAAAGAACCATTACTTTTCTTATTGTTGCGCTTAAAATCTGCTTTAATTTTTTCAAGACCACATTGCTCATACTTTGAGGGTTCCATCCTATTATTGGTATCCATTGCTTGTCATGATACTGGAGACCCAGTTGTAGTACTATCTTCAAGTGAATCTCCGCCAAAGAACTCTCATTCTAATAGCCAGTGGAATAAGCCAGAATAGGAATGGCGAATGATGGAAAGAAGAAAAATTTATTATCAATTATCTGAATCATTTATCCTTTATCCGTTATCAATGAATCAATGAATAAACTTAGCATTTTCATTGCATTTCACCTTACTTTTGCTAATTAATCAAGCAATTTGGCTTGCATCTTATAAAATATTAATTGTTCTAGAAAATTATCTTTGGTAGCAAACTGGCTATTAAATTAACTGTGGGATTGTAGTAAATGTTAATTACCGCTGTAGTTTTTACTTCAAGGTCAGATGTTTTTTCGAAGAATTTTTAACTTTCATTTATCTTCCATTCCATTTATTTTTATTATATTATTTTTATCGTTCTGCAATTTTCTGAAATATTACATTAAAGTTAAAAAATGTGCATCAAATAGTTCATTTAAACCTTCAGATGTCCACTTTTTTTATGTCCATGTAAGTCATTTAACTTAAAAAGATTTATCTCGAATTACGCAAGGACGTCATATGGAAAATCTTACTGTCTTGTCTTAATAGCTAGTGAAATGTGCTTAATGCCAAGTGGTGAATGTTGCAGAAAAGAAAACATATGCTTTTTAATTTTCAACCACTAAATACGTCAAAAATGTAATTTTATTTTATTATAAAAATTAAAAATTAAACTAATTGAAATAAGATTTGTTGGTTTTCTTAGGGTTAGTTTTTTATTGCCAAGTGAAAATTTCTAACTATATGCGCTAAATCGTTCTTTTGAGGGCAAGCATTGTTATTTTTTTCATGTTTTACCAACGAATTCCATATATTTTCTTCCCGAACTCAAAACCTTGTTCTAATATAATGAATGAACTACTGGTTCGCTTTAATTTATCAATTGGTCGTTTATTCTATCCTTATTATTTTTGCAAAGAAATAAAACCGGATGAAAGTCCTGAAATATGAATGAACGTCAATTTTAATTGTTGTCATAATTTTGAAGAGATTCTAAACTAAAATGTGAATTTATAAATTCTTCAGGAGATAAATTGTATGATTCGTTAACAAATAAAAAATATGATAGTATTGTAATTGGTTAGGACGGAGCTAAATTCGAATTTCGATATAATGTCACTAAGTAAAATCCACTTCCATTCTAATCCAAATTCCCTTTTCCAGCAATTCAATTCAAAATTTATGCTTTTCTGTTACATTAAATTTGAAAATATATACACTTATATATATATATATATATATATATTACTTATATATGTTATTTTATTTTCTTTCATATTGATAGTTTCTATTAAATCCAAAATCATTTTTATAAAAAATTTTTTTTTGAAATAACATGCTCAACCTTATTTTCGCATGTTTTAGTACCAATCAATGAATTTTGTGGTATTTTGCCTTATTGACTAAAAAAAATATACCCATAGCCTTCGTGAATTCAAGAATACCAAAAATTATTGCGAGATTATCATTGTAAAAATTGGTGAAGATTATTCAAATTTAGAATGTGGTGATTTAAAAAATTGGCCAAAAAAAACTTCTACTTCGTTGCTATAAAAAAAATCATCAATTTTTACGTATCTTTGTTATAAAGTTTTATGATCTTGCTATTATCGCATGGATAGTGTTTTCTTTTTTAACTATTAAAAATTCATTTCTCATACGACTCGTAAAATTTTCAATTTCATGATATTTTCATGTAAAAATCCATAATCCGTAAGATAAGGAATTTTTGCACCCTAAGAATGTTGGACAATTTGACAATGCATTTATGGTTTATTATTGTGGATTAATAAAATTTTTACAAAATATTCTCTGTTTCGGTGTTTTTTGTAATTTTTGGTTCTTCTTCCATATTTTTCCTATTTCGTAGTGGATTATGGAAATTATAGAATTTTAAATTTAAATGAAACCAAAAATTTAGATGATTATAGTTCAATAAATTAATATGGCAGGTTTTCTTAGAGAATTATTTGAAAACCCGTTTAATTAGATAACTATCAAGTCATGCTTCACTTAAATTATCAATTTCGTGTCATAAAAAAAAGGTCTTGAAGGAGATTCTATTCATTAAAAAGATTTTATGGTTCACAAGCACTTTTCCTGAATTTACTTGTCGTTTTTCACATCCATGATTCAGTATAGTGGGACTTTAATATCCGATAGGTAGATAGCAAATACTGGTACTAGATTTATACGATCTTTACCATCGAAACAATGCTGGTAATTTAATTTTTTGGCTCAATTCGGTTGTGTTCCAGTTTCATTCTCAACAAATTTTGCAGATTCAAATAGGAAGTATCGTTCAACAGCCAGCAGCAAGCGAACCGCCAACAATACCATTTCAGCAACACAATGCACATCTAGGATTTCATGCTTCAACTGCTTATGCATTCACTTATGCCAGTGATCATTATATCAATGCTCAACAAGTGAAGATTCTATTAACATTTTGTTTTTTCTTTAGGAATTTTTCTATTATTCGAATCAGATATGGCAAATTTAAGATATTGAAAAATTAGTGCAAAAAAAAGGGAATGAAGTGATGAAAGAATGGAGAAAAAGATGAAAGAAAGGAAAGTAAGGAGTGAAAAGCAAAAAATACACAGCCTTAATAGCAGTGCTGTATCTGTACTGAGCATCGAATAACTAGATTTGTGATTAACGATCATAATACATTATTTTCAGTTGCAACAACAATATGCAACTCATCAGCTTCGCGTGCAAACTGAACCCAATAGGCCCACAAACTTCGAACAGCAACAAGGCGGCACGTTGGTAAGTATTATTTTTTTTATAATCTTTTTAAGCAGAAGCACAATGGCCGAGTGGTAAACTGCTTCAACTAGCCAAGCGTTATAAGTTTAAATTTTATCTCTTAAATAGAACTAATATGATAGAACTAATATGACATTAGAATGAAGTACCAGTGATAATGTGGAACCATCTCTATTTCTACTCTCAAAGGACTTTTTGGCGAAGAAAGCTAGTAGTCAGTGGAGTTATATAAACAAGAAATAATAAGCGCAAAATATAATTTTCTTTTCCTATGTATATAAATAATACTTACCAACGTTAGCTTGGAATATTTCTCAAATAAATAAATCTCCCAAATAAATTTTCATGGGCCATTTAAATCTTTTGATTACGGAAAAATTGAATATATATATATATATATATATTTGTTGAATAAATCTATTACAGATAGCTAATGGTAGAGATTATTTAATGCTACATGGACGACCTCAAGATGTACTCATACAACATTTTACTCAACAAAATTTGCCTCAAACAAGCATGCAACAGCAACAACAACATCAACAGCTTCAGGTTTGTCACCAACCATAATTGATAATTGATGCAATGGATGATGGAGTAAAATGTGATGGAATATGAGAAGAATAATTTAAAATTAATTAATTATCTCTTACTGGTTTCACGATCCATGCTACTATGATGCTGTTTTAATGGATTTTTTTAATTCGAGAAGAAGTCACCGAATATTTGACTGAAGCTGCGGATGATGTTGCGTAACTCTTTTGTACTTCTCTGTTCATCATCCTCTGGTGAAGGGATCCAATAGTTAGTAAAGCTAGCCAGAAATAAATATTTTAAGAAAACGAAAAAGCCTTCAGCTTCTATATAAGTTATATAAGTTCTTAATGAACCTTAGATTCAGTTTGACACTGAATACAAATTTTTAGCATGATTTTTAGGAAATCAATAATCCATCACCAGAACAGCAGACAAATATGGGTGAACAATGTGGAGTGATACGAAAAGGTATTTCATGAAAAATTGAACAATCGACTGATATAAAATCTTCTATCGTCAGTACCGATTATATAAACTTTTAGCAGTAAGTACTCGACAAAAGCAAAATATTTCAACCACAATAAACAGTCATATACCAAATGGTCAACCTTCGAATGTAATAAACCATCTGGAAGTATTCTGCTCTGTACCAGGCAATTTTACTTTCGATTAAATTGGCATAAGATAAATTTGCTTCATTATGGACCATAGGTAAACCATCAGCAAATTAGCCAGAAAAATTTAAAATTTATTTTTTTTGTTTTCAGTTTTATTTTTCAGCCAGCTGAATCGAATAATAGTAACAGTAATTTTATGGGATAATAGAGTAAACCTCTGCAATGCTTTAGGAATAAACGATAAATGCAATATGATGCGATTTGATTGATTTCACTACATTTTAGGTCGACTGAGTTTATTGAGTAGTGCGGCCAAGTATAAAGTTACCGTGGGAGAGATTCAACGTCGTTTATCGCCTCCTGAAAGTCTTAATGCTTCCGTGCTTGGCGGTATTTTGCGCAGGTATGATAATATTTATATAATAACTTTTTCATCATATATATTTATATATATATACGTAACAGTTCTTATGCAATAGATCTTTCGATCACGAATTTGCATTATAGATACAACACAAATTAAAACCAAAAAAATTTTAGGAATTGATTAGACCTTTTCAGAGTGATTATTTTAGATATCATTTTAATACTTTTAAATTCAATTTATTCATGAATTCATTAGAGCAAAATCAAAAGATGGTGGGAAATCATTACGAGATCAATTAAAACAGGTCGGGCTTCAACTGCCAGCTGGTAGAAGGAAAGCGAGTAATGTGAACTCTCTTACTGCACTTGTTGAATGTAAGACTCCATTTTTATTGCGCACATTAAAATATGATAAAGGCTTATGGCGACAAGATTTATTTCACTGAGTTTTTTTAAGTCAATTATCAATCGAAAAATTGAGCAAATCTTTTTGAAAATATTTTGAAATAATTTCATATGAAATTTATAGTTGAAGCAATGCATTTGGCGAAGGATTTTAACACGGTTTGTGAAAATGAGTTTCCAGCTCGATCTATTGCTGAATATCTTAATCAGATAAAATTTTCGCTGGAACCTTCAGCTGCTCAGCGACGGAAAAATATGGTCCTTGCAACAAGAAATATGTTGACAGAACTGAAAGATTTGTTAACTAAGGATCGTAGTCCACTTTGTTCGTCTTGTCCTCCTCCGATTCTTGATATTGCAATTCAGGCTAAATTAACTCATTTTTCAATGGTAAATTTTTTTTTCTACTTTTTAATCCTCAACAAATCTACCTATTTTCAGGTAATGGTTGCTGTTACGGCGCTAAGTTGGGTTAAAGTGACATAAAAGGGTTTAAGGTGAGGTTATCAATAGATCATGACAAAAGAGAACCTGAGCTTCTGGATTTTTTTGAGTGTTTGATGGGATTTGGGAAGATTTTTCGCAGAATGTTGTTTTTGGGATTTCAATTTCGAAGTATGAAGTCTCCGGTATAATTTTTCCCTGAAAGGCAGGTATACACACACACATAGAGATAGAAATTAAGATTTTAGGTGCTATAAGATGTTTATGAGGCCAGTGATGCTTGTCAATGCCAATAATGTGCACCTGCGCGCATATTATTTTTCGTTTTGATTCTTTCATGGTAACACTATTGTAGGTCACTCATGGCTTTGGAGCTCCAGCGATGTTAGCTGTAATTAATGCAATAATGAACTGGCTAAATGAAACTTTAAAATCCTTAGATCGACTTTCGTAATCTATCCTCAGAAATCGCTGCCTTCTTATTGTGACTGCTGTGTTGATATTTATGCTTTTTATTTTTTTCATTTTATTTTTGTGCGATCTATAAAATTTATTCTCTAATTCCTTTATAATTCATAATCTCCTGATTGATTTTTAAAAATTTAGCGCTTGATTGGTAAAGTTTTAAGTGCACGACTTTATGTAATATAGTGTATCTAATAATTTTCCTACTACTGAATGGAAATTTTCAAAATTATTTTGCAAAATTTATATTTATATTTATAAATAAATATTTATATTTCTCAGTGAATATTGATAACAAGAAAAAATACGAGGGATATTGGACTTTGATTTTATATCTTAATTTTTTTTTTCTGGAAAAAGCATTGGTATAAAGTTTTAAATTTCTCATATTTATCAAGAATTAACATATAAACTTTAATATAATATTGTGAAACGACAGCTTTAGTAAATGAGCTTTCTCTGTACAAAAAAAGCTTTCAAAAACTTGAAAACCCGAAAAAAAATTCTTTATTTGTTTTGGTAATATCTTTGAATAATAACACTATTGTAGGTCACTCATGGCTTTGGAGCTCTAGCGATGTTAGCTGTAATTAATGCAATAATGAACTGGCTAAATGAAACTTTAAAATTCTTAGATCGACTTTCGTAATCTGTCCTCGTATAATAATAACAGAATTCATAATTGAAAATGATGGCTGACTGTTGTAAATGAGCAATAAATTTTAGTTATCTGCTTATCTATACTTTATTAAAACTAATAAAATTCAATTCAAAAAAGAAATGTTAGCAAAAACTGAAATTGCAATCGTCGGTATGAAAAAGATTGATTGAAAATTGTGCCGCTGAAGAAAAAGAATACCATGATATTTTCATTGTAATTTTTTAATTCTTGCTACTTGCTGCAGTACAGTAAAAGTACCAATAAGGATAATTTTCGTACCGTTTTTTAATGTAGCAATTCTTTCCAATTTGATTCTTTAATTTTTCTGAATTTTTCAAATTTGGCAGTATTTTTCATCTGCTAGTAATAACCTTTTCAAGAACGGGGTTATATATCTTATCGCTGATTTCTTAATTCAAGAAAACTCATATTCATCCATTTTAATCGACATATGTATCATAAATCGCATTTAACCATGGTTATATTTGTTAATATTATTCAATAATATGATATAACAAATTAAATTATTGTATTTGAATTAAATCACTACTGATTACTAAGGCGAGCCTTTGTCAGAGAATGATTAGTTATAAAAGAGCAGATGGGTCTTTAGCATGGGTCTTTATGTAGTACTTCAGTTTTAACGACCTGCTTATTTGCATCAAGAGCCAGGAATCAATCGAATTAATGATAAAATTATCAAAAAAATTAAGGAATCGATTTATTATTATTTGTTGAACAATATTCGTGTGATGACAATTTTTACGTATTAAAATATTCAGTCAAATGTTCAGTTAAATGTTCAGAACAACTAACCAAATGGTGTTCAGAATCAATATCGGGCAAAACGCATTTACTTAAACCATAGTTTTGTAAATATCCAAATGATAAAAAGTAAACCGTTTTCGTTTCACTCTAATACACATCGTCTTTAAAACAAATACACGGAACCATTTAGCATAAATTTGGAAGGAACCATTAATATTGTCTGTGGAATAAGTAAACTGAGATGGCAGCTTCATTCACTTAATATTTATATATTAGCGGCAAATAGTATACTGTCATTAATAACTTCATCCAGTTTTCCCATTTGAATGAGTAAGTTTCTTATCGCTGCCAAAAAATCACGCAGATCAGTTGAAATGGTGTAAAGCAAGTCAAATTTCTGTAAAAATTTCGACTTAATAAGCAGTAAATTTTGTCATCCTCAAAATAATTTCATGAAATTTCTTATGAAAAAATTTAGAAGAAAGATATAAAATCCGATGTGTCTATATAATAGATTATATATGATTCCGGATCTTTTGTTTTGTTTCGCTTTTTAACTGAAAATTATAAGAATATTGCCACAAATGGTGAATGTCATTTAGACATTTTTAATTGTAAAATTGATTTGCTGGATTATTATGAATAAAATTTCAACCATTTGAAAATTATGAGAACTAATCATTACCTCACCATCACAATTCCTCTCAAGCACTGGATATGGAAACATCCCATGACCGCCAACACGACCAACTGTGATTCCGAACAGAAAAGTTTCGTTATGCAAACGGCAAATCAAAGGTCCGCCAGAATCACCCTTAATCGACTTTTTTGAGATAATTATCGTTATTGAGATGGATTTTATAAATTTAAGTTGTTTTTCTGAATATTTCTTAAAAAACCACTTGACCCGACACAAGTAGAATAAGGCTGTTTTGCCGAAGAATCACTTGATCATAAAAGTCTAGCTGGTTTCAGTTACCATGCGAAAATCCATTTTTAATGAGATATTTATGATACTTATTAATGAGATACTTATTTATCGAAGCAATACGCTCAATTATTATATACTACTGGAGAAGAGGTCATTCTTACCTGACATCTACGACCTTTTTGATCGTAAGACAACAATGGTGAAAATATTGTCTTTTTATATTTAAAGTGAAACTTTATACCGAGTCGCCTTAAATTTTCATCACTATAACCTAAAAAATTATTTCTCTTGATGGTTTAGACCTTTCATTATATTTAATATATTTGTATTCGTTTAAATCATATTCTGTATTATTACTAAATTTTCTTTATTTTTAAGCAAGACTTCATATAAATAAATAAAGAAAAAATTGCTTACCACGTTCATGGGCACCATAGCCTAGGGTTTCACAAGAAAGTTTCCGAATAGGCTGGTCAATGGGCATCCAAACAGTCGCATTTATATCTTTCACTGGTAATTTGATGAATCTGTAGATTCGAGCCGAATTATTAACAGGTACCGGTCTTTCTAAAGCAAATAATCCAATATCATAAACTTCTCCAACGTCGCTGATCTAAAAACCTGGCTATAGCTTTTTTATTCATGCATATAATCTATAAAAGTTCTAATCAAATGGAAACTGGTTTCATTAAAATTACCTTTACTTGAAAAAATTAGAAATATATGCTGAATTTATCTGCGGGAATTTAATATGCACAAACATCTTTACATAGGCATTTTTTACATAGAATGGATATGCACGTTCGAATCATATAATAATATTTTTTATTTGCTAATATCAATAAAACATAAAAATATAACTCATTAGACCAAATGATTTGTACCTCCTCATTAGTCATAAGCTGATGAAATTTTCCTGAACTTCGGTAGGTTTCATAAAGCTCTTGTTCATAGTCGCGCTTCTTATAAAATTCAGCTGCATAGTATACTTTGTAATGTTTCATTTCTTCACTACCATAAAGCAAATGTGCAGAATTAAGCAAATTAAATAAATTGTATTTTTCATTATTGGAAATAGAAGGAATCTTTGCTACCAATTTTAAAAATTTCCCAGTTTTATTAAATTTAAGGCTGTGAAATAATTTGAAATTGAAATTGAATCTGTATTCGATTAAATCGATTCAGTGATAAAGTACAACAATGCACTGTGATAATCCCTATTAATCCAGTCTACAATTCAACTTTTATTCTTATGCATATATGTGTGGAATGGATATGGGTGTTCATTTCATTTCATTCATGCCACTTTAATTAAGTACCTTGCTGAAAAATTACCACCGCAGTGACCAGCAGTAATAACTACTGAGCGCGATATCAAACTTCCTGTGCATACACCAAATTTATTGTTCATCTCTAAAATTATACAAATTTCTATAAATTGTTGGAATTGTTATATAAATTGATTTAAATAGCTCGAAGATAGCCATTAAATAACGATTTGCTTCTTGTAGATTATAGATTATTTTCTTATTTTTGAAAAAGGTGGAAACTTACTGAAACGTTCTCCCATTGATATTTTGGTAACAAATGGATATGACTCTGGGTCAGCAATATGACCATGAGCAATCTTATATCTTTGCTCAAAAGCCAAGCATATTTCAAATAAAAGATATAATGATAAGAAAAATCCATAGAGAAATTTCATCAGCTAAACTTTATTAATGGATTATTAGAACTATTTGAAAAATTCAAATTTAAATGAAATTATGAAAAATTTTCAGTTCTCCATAAATTTTTTTTTCTTCGATCTCCATAAATTGCACCATTGATAGTATCAGTTTTAAGATAGAGTAAACTTGTCAGTTAAAAACACAAGTGATCTCGGCTATCTTCCTATCATGTCTCCAGTAACTTTTTTGTAAAAATAAGTCTGGTCGAACAAACCAATAAAGCCTAAATAGAAAAGGTAAACACTCTTAATAAAAAAAAATGGCACAGTTCAGTTATTTTCCTTACAGCCGAAAACTCCCCTTTTATCGACTCTCCTCTCCTCTATCTTCCTACTAATTACTGCATGAAGAAATAAATACAGTAAATTCAAACGAAGGGCCCAATGGAACCAATAAATAATAAAATTATAATAAATTATTAAATGATTACAAGTTTTTTGTAATTAAATAATTTTCGACAAAAAATAAAATTTCACCAAATTTTGAACAATCAACGTTTCGAAAGAATTCTTTATACTAAACACAATGAGGGTTCCAAAAATGGAAAAAAAATGCAATTAGCGATCTTTGCTTGCTTATTAAAGACATTTTCTTCAGTGACTGTATAATGTTAAAAAAATGATTTTGCTTTAATTTAAAATCCGAATTCTTCATCATAACTTTTCTTATTCTCAGAAATTTCACTAGAATTTGTCTCGGCAATTATTAGTAACAAAAGAAATTTTTTTGAAAATTCCATATTTTTGCCATACTGATTACTAAGACGAGGATCGGTGGTCATCTCTTTTTTTATCTAAGAATCACATAGGGATAAAAATAAAGGGTGAATTCTCAGAACAAACCGAATTTTATTGTTGATAGCAATTAACAAACGATAACAATAACAAACAATTGTTCCCACGTTGCTTGCAATATAATATTTGAGCATCGCGCCTTTAAGCGACTCTTGAAGAAGTGATTGAAGTGATTATGGTTCACCAGTACACTTTCGAATTTAAATATTTTGGCATCTTCTATTAGCGATCTTTGCTTGCTTATTAAGGACATTTTCTTCAGTGACTGTATAATGTAAAAAAAATGATTCTTAAAATGGTTTGGAATATTCTTGGATATTAATAAATATTAAATAGCTATCATCTAAAAAGAATTCACCATTTTACTATGAATAACTCTTTGCAAAAAAAGATAAACCACTTTTAATTAATTAATTAATATGACTGCAAAAATTATTTTAATTGTAAAAATTGTTCAAACAGAAATTATTACTTATTGTGATATTTTCTTTAATATTTATGTCTTCCAATTAGAAAATGTAACAAATACGATTTCTCATTAGCGATTCCCAAAGTGATTTATCAGTTACACTCTGAACTGCTGGCCGCCAAGTTTGTCTTGTTCATTTTTTTGTGTCAAATTTGTTCAAATTTCTTTCCATATTATTTCCATGTTATTAATTATGATGGCTCATGCAAGAATATTTCATATTCATATAAATAATCAGCAATACTCTATCATCAAAAACCTTATCCATGAGTACATCATAAGCTATTAACCTCAATTATCCTGTTTAATACAACGCTATAAGCGAAATGTATTACAACACACTCGTAAATCAGATTCGCAAATTTGGAATTCTCGAAATTAGAGTATCTTCGGAAAATCTTCGTTCAGCATTGCATCGACTGGGTAAGTGGATATTTTATAAAAAATGCGCAGTTTCCTTAAGCCTTCCTCTACTTTTAATTTACAAGGATACTATGAGGAATGATTTAAATCTAAGAATCTAAGAACTTGGAAACTGCTCCATATAATTCCCATTCATAAAAAAAAGGAAATACCTATGATCAATTACAGACCTATCAGCCTAACATGTATCCAGTAGCAGAGTACTGGAGAGAGCAATTTATAACAAGCTATTTAACTATCTTGATATCAACATTTTGAAATCGTCTTGTCAGCATGGTTTCTTCAATTGATAATGAAAAAATAGTTAGTTGTCTGCTATCTAGACATAGCATTTGATATCTTTTCCCACAATAAGTCACCATTAATCATGGTATTACAGATGCCTTGTAAACTGGATATCAGATTGCTTAAGGATCGATACCAAGCTATACGTATCAATACTCTCTTTTAAATTTGGCTCCAGTCAAATAATCAGGCTTCTCTCAAGGTAGTTGAATCAAACTATAATTTCTATTATATATTAATAATGTCACCACAGTTATACGAAATTCTACCATTCTAATCACTATCACACAACCAGTTTGAAATTCTAAGGAAACAAAAGGTTGCATTATATTCAAGAATAGTCCGAACGAACGCTTTGCAAATTTTGAGAAAGCTTTAAGTTTTGACTTCAAACGATCGAAAAATAAAAATCTCATATTCTTGAGGTCTTCTTTACTTTGGTTCTGCAGTATAGGTTCAGTCGAAAAGATTTTAATCTACGTCTATGCCACCGAGAAATTCGAGGCCCTCTAATAACCCTCTAATAACTGTAAAATTTACTATCTTCATGGAAGATCGGATAATTTATAAGCTGATCTCAATAGAATTTCAAACTAATAGGTAAATCACCCACTCCATTAAAATTGTAACGTATATAAATTCGAAAGGATTTAATCTCCCAATCTCATCTAACATAATTAGAATGGTAGAATTTCATATAACTGTGGTGACATTATTAACTAAATCAAGTAAATTAATTGAAAAACTCTAAAAATACTTTGTACATCACCTCTCATCTAGTCGTAAACTCATAAAGCATAATTTCAACTATAACCTAGACTTAACCTAGACTTCTTTTCAATTCGTCGAATTAAACAAAATTTAATTTTATATTTATAAAATTATGGTTATGTCAAATTAGAAATATTGTTAAAAATATTAATATATTGTTAAAAATATTAAAATTTTAGATTAAATTTCAATTCAGCAAGATCTAATGGACTAAAATTATTAAACTTAAATGCAAGACTAAACTAAGGGACACTTTTTTATTCGCACCATTAATTAGTGGAGTAGGCTGCCGAATAACCTTCTTTGTGCATTATCCTCAATTGTTTTTAAAAAAGATTAAATAATATCATCCATGATATCATTTAAAATCTTCACATTATGCTGGTAATCTTGATCATTTTTCATCCGAACAATTGTCAGTAATAATACATTCAATTCGATTTTTCGACTTGAATTATTCTATAGTTTCCCTTCACTGCATTGTTTCTCGGGTAAGACGCTTCCAAGCAGCGCGGTCTGATGCCATCGTCGATAGTAATAGAAGCCATTGCTTTTTCCATCGTCTAAGTCCATATATTGCTGGTCCACCTATACATGGTGGACCTTTACGCCATTGCATAGCTGTTCAATTATTTTTAAAGTAATTTAAATTATTCTCCAGGTGCAAATAAAGATTTTATGCTCAAAAAAATTTGAAGAATGAATAAGTCGAAGTTTCAAGAAAAGAAAAGCCCATCTTTAACGACTTTTCTTGTTCACTACTCATTTTCAATTGAATTCAATGGAAATTTTGAAATGATTCATTTTTACTCAAAAAATAACAAATTATTCGGAGATCAATGGTTATAAGAAAACAAAAATTCGTAGTCTCGATAAATGCAACAAAAGTTTTCCAAATAATTTTTGAAATTATCAAACAAATTTTCGATGGAAAATACATTAAGGATTTAGTTTTAACGATATTCACAGTTCGTGTTTTTCTTTTATATATATTAGATTTCAGATTTCCTGTTCATTTTTTATTGGCTTTTGTTGGGTAATTTGTAATGGATTTAATGAAGATAGCAAAATGCATCGCGAAAATCACGAAATAATAAAAAAAGAGATTTGAGAATGAATTAAGAAATTTCATTAGATATGCGAATTTCACTGCCTTTTTCTATTTTAGAATAAAATCGGATATTTTCTAACCATATGGACCTTTCTGATTTCTGATGAACTCTACAAAATTTATCGGAAATTTTATTTGGTATCCATGAGAATATGGATGATTGAATTCAATATTTAGTTGATTTCTCAATAAATAGTATTATACTCAGGAGAAATCTTTGTAAACATCGACTATATTTACCACTATTTTTCATTGAATCTATTTACCACGAAATAACAGGGAATAGGATGGCTTAGTGGGTTATTGCTCAATTCTGAGTGCCAATGCTGAGGTTCTACTTTATTCCCTGCAGGCTGAATCTATCCAAAAATCCAGGTGATGCTGGCGATTCATTTCTCGCCAAGAAATTCCCTAACATGATTCTCTGGTGTGACAAGCCAGCGAAGCGAGTTTAACCAGTAATGGACAAATATAAATTTTTGCAAAAGGTTTAAAATGGGGTATATTTTGTATGGAATTCTATTTTTCTTGATTTGATGCTTTTAAGGCATATTTCAGACATTTTACTTTTTTTTTAAAAAAGAAATAAATAAACCAGAGCAAGATAGTCGACTGGAGGATGATTCAGATTATCATGTTGAGAGGCACTAGTAACTTGTCATTGAAAAATCCAGGCTGTGCTGACGATTCACCTATACTTCTATTGCCAAATAACTTCCTACATTGACAGCCAAGTAGCGAGTCTATTCAGAAATTGCGAACGCTAATCATTTACTCCTTGTAAAAATTTTGATTGCCGAGGAAATAGGATTTTGGCGATAATACAGCTTATACAGTGATACAAAGAATGCATTTGAATTACATGAATTTTTTTTAGGTCATCACCATTTTCGAAACCAATTTTTTCGTTTCTTTCATATAATTCAAAAACCACAAATCTGAAGAGAAACATCTGATAAACTTCGAGAAATTACCAAAATAATTTCAGCGTTTATTTATTTTTCATTTATTTTAAAAAGTGTGATATGTTGAATCATTAACAGTGAGAAACCTTTAAAGATTGCCTAGACTATCGTTTTTTTCAAAATTCGGTCTCTATGCTTGACAAAATCTTAACCAGGCAGATACTATCGACACCATAAGCTCTATCTCCAAATAATTATTTGGCAAGAAACGTCTTTATATTAATACCCAAATTTAACCAGAAAAATGGAGCAAATATAATCAAAAGTGGTGATTGCTTATCATTCGCTTTGTCTTGAACTTGTATCGTTCAAAAAATCAATCAAGAAATAATATTTATAAAATTATGAGGAACATTTGAACGTTGATGATTAAAAAATATAATAAAGGGAATCTATTTAAAAAAAAACCCCTTAAATTAGGCGAATTTATGAGTAAACATTATAGGTGACCAAGATTCTTCGGTGTTATTTTCATTTAACGTGATCTATCGATTTAAAAACCGGTACTGAAGCAGCAGTGTCATATACCTTCAGTTTATTTCACACTTATTGCAGCGCTGTTGATCATACGCCCCCAGAGAAATTACTTAAGTATACTGGCGAGCTTCCCTTAATTCCTTCTCTTTTTTCACTAAATGTGCATAATTTAAAAGTTAATTTAATTAAATTGATATAGTGGATAATAAGAAAATTTTTTTCTCATTTTAATAAAACTTTTTTGGGAACCAATATTTATTTTTTGTCAGTTGACCAAATTTCATTTAGATATATTATTGCTAAGGAATAGATAATCAACAGATATTATCGTGCTGGATTGTAAGGGTTCTGCTATTACAAGCAGGTAATCTTCCACAGAACAATTCAGAATGCTGCGCTTTTCTGTTCTCAGCTCATTTCTTGGCAAATTCACGCTTTCCAGTTGTTTTTTATTCATAATAGCTGAAAGAAGTTTTTGTTGAAATTTTTCTATATTTTCTCATTTTTTGTAAGTTTTGCAGGTTCAAAAAAGCAATCATATTTGTTATGCATATATTAATAATATTTATTACGTTATACTGGGGTTTTTTTTTTGCGTGTTCGGATAATTATCGTGAAATCATGGCACAGGCACGTAATTATTCATTTTTTATCATCTAATTATTAGAGATAACATGGCAAAGTGGATTCGTGTTTAATTGGAAAAGGCTAATGGCGAGCGAAGCCTAGCCTGAAAGAGCAAGTCTGTCATCAGATAATTCAAAAATCTATCTATAGTAACATTTAAAAAATAAAATTTATTAAAAATAATAATTAAAGTTAAAAGTGGTAACAAAAAAAATATATCGGGGCTTGAGAGCTTTCGCTTCTGTTAATTCTTCTTTTAACGGCATTCACCATTTCTGATTCGGCTTGCTACATTATTGCTATTCTTTCGCCAAAGAATCGATTGCCCATAAACCATATCACCAGGTTTTAAGGCAAATTATTTTAAAGCAGGAATTAGGCCCATTCTGTTTGACCTCTACATCTTTATTGCCATTACTATCTTTTTGCTTCGAAAATCACTTGGATGACAAAGTTAAGACTAAATTGACCGGATTTGTACGGTTCACCTTCCGCGGAACTTGTTGAATTAAGAACTACATATTATATGAATTATAATTATATGAAACAATTATATTCAGTATGGGCGATTTGATAATAATGAAATTCTTTTCATATCATATCATTTGCTTATTCGCTATTAGTGCTTTAATCTAATATTATGATGGATTGAATGGTGCGTCGTTTCGACAAAGCTCGTGCTATCATAGTTTTTTTCTGCAAATAAATCTGTCATAGCGAAATTTAGGTGTTGCTGAGAATTCAGTGGAGAGAATTTTTATATGCTTCTATCCTCATTTAATGATATTTCTCTCGTGAAGAGCTTTTATGTGAAGAGCTTTCTTAACGGCCAGTGGAAAAAACTATTATAAAACTTAAATATAAAATAATATTATAAAAAAAGAGTGTTTTATTTTCATAATTTCAATACTTATTTTTAGGATAGTGACGTTAACAAATTTATGGAATTTTTATGGTGTCCATCAAAGCTTATCGGCACAATGTGTCCAGGTATGGATTCGACCTTTATGATAATGTTTGTTTATTGTTCAAAATAAACCACTTTCCATTATGAAATTTTAAAATAGAAATAGATAAGTGACTAGTTACTTAATAATGTATTACTTAATAGTGAGAAAATATTAATTGATGAGATTTGATATGAATAAAAATAAGAACGCGATTAAAAATTTATTTCGAGCCATTTCGAATATGGAGAACTTATTGAAATAAATTGCTTTTTGCAATAGAACATTGGAAAAAAATCCTTTCATCGCTGCAGTGCTTATTAGATGTGAGAAAGTGATAGCCATGTATTTGTTGCTCACATCGAGCATCAAATTTCCAACTCACCATGCCGATGAGAATAAACTTACCAGTGAAAGAAGCGGGTGACGCTACGATTCATTTATACTTTAATCTGACAATGACTATCTGACAAGTGGAGCTTACTTAACCTGAAATGGCTCTAACCGCCTATTTTTTTACATACCCATACCTTGTTATATTTAAGTCAATTTTTAAGAAGTATACAGTTTAGATTTAAGTTGTTTCAAAAAACGAAAACGGAATTTATGCAGAAATTTCACTGTTCATTGTTTTTTTCAGAAAATTCACTGACTTACTATTATAGTTGTTGTGGTGAGCTCAGAAATAAATGTTGCTATAATACTCGCACATGGGTTTTGGTTGCCAGTATTGCAGTCCCATTTATCATTCTAATTGCGATAATTATCGTGCTTATTCGTAAATTTTGCGTTAAAAGAAATGATGAATACATACCAGGACAACGGCAAATGTCTGAACAACCACAAAAAAATTATTTAATCGGTCGAAGGCCGTAATATATTTTAAAGTATACTTCAGCCATTAATTGACACATCACGAGTTGAAACCCTTCCTCTTAACAGTGGCAGAATCTTTATTAAAAAAGGAAACACAAAGGATGCTAGAAGTATGTGAATTGAGCAAGCAACCAGGTAAAACACTATTGAAAAGAAAGTTCCATTAAAATCAATGCCTTTAATTTGAATCCATTTAGATTTCCTAATTCACTTAGACCATTTATCAATATTATCCTTCTTAGAAGGTCACAAAAGTCACCTTACTAAATCATTTAGCGAGTGAAATGAAACTTTTGAATTTTTTTTTTTCTATGATTTATTGATATTGACCGTTTTTTATGCCATTTTATTATTTTCATATTATATATGTATATGCATTGCTGTGATATTTTCCATTGGCCATTTTCGAACCTCATATACTTGGTTAAAAATTGAGGTTTATTGTGAATTCGCTATTTTTCATTTTCATAATTTTTTTACTATCATATCATACAGTAAGTGCAAATTTAAAATAATTAATTTGGCTTGATATGATTGCTAATCTTTGCCACTTTTTGTCCTGAAATGATCGCATGAAAAATTCATGCATTTATTTTTCTGAGAAATCTTTTTATGGCGCACCCTTGCTGAATTTCAAGAAAATACATTTTTTCGCTCAATTATTAAATCTATAAAAAATATAGTTTTCGAAAATTTCTACTAAAATTTTATTTAATTTTCGAAAATAATTAACCAAAAATAGATTATTTAAGAAATTTATGAAAAATAAATTATTTAAAATAGATTATTAAATAGATTATTGTCAAAAATAGATTAGATTTTTTGAGAACGACCATGTCCTAAATTGCCTGAAAGGAAGGTGGAGTGGCGAATGGGATATTATGTCTTTTCTTTTCCTAGTTTCATCAGACTATTCCATTGTTTTATTGGTATAACGTGAAGTATTCTTGCTGTGTTTCTCAATGTAAAGTATTCTAGATTGCTTTTTGATTTTCATAAATTTGATTTTTGATCATGCAAAGTTCCTTAGGCTGTTTCCTAGAACTAAAGGGTTCTTAAAGTCGCAAGGGTTTCTCTGAACTAAAAACATTTATCAAATCCAAAATCTAAAAGGCTTTCAGAGATTATACCAAAAAAAGCTAGAAAATATTGGAGATTATTAATTTTTAAAAATATATCAAAAAACTAGATAAACATGTTGATAGGCCCGTGATTAATTGACAGGTGATTGTTGCCGAATGATTACTATCGGGAATCAAGAATGGCTTCCAACCGAAACATTGCGCTTCGCTTCGTTAAGTGGCAATGTCGGTGAACTAGAGTAAAGGGAGCAGAATGGGAGTAGATGATTGGTGCGCTGACGCTGAGCTTCAGCTGGAGTAAAACGACCATGTCCTCAGTAAAACCCTGGGCAATACTCATCTGTGCTTGTGTCGCTAAATATCCCTAGTAAAATTGTCTGGTCCGACGAGCCAATGGAACGAGTCGAGCAAATGATGGCCGCTTTTAAAAAAGGGAAATATTGACAAATGACCATCTAAGAAAGATCTTAAAGGTCTTAAGAAAGATCCTAACGGAAAAAAAATGAAAAAATTGCAAAGTAAAACTAATAAAAAGATTATATATTAAAAGATCCTAAGAACAAGATCCTCACTAAACATTCATAAATGAAGAGAAAATGGAATTTATTTGTCAGAAATGCGACTGAAATTGGAAATCGTGTAATTTTGTTGTATTCCAGACGACTATTATATGAACGCATTGTTCGAAAACGTCATTGATTCCATGCATGTGTAAAGAATTTCCTGAATTTATGCGATATTTATCTTGCTATTCTATGAAAGAAGGCCCATTCTGTGGAAACAAGGGCGAAAAATTACTTTCTTCAATAAGCTGGATTATTTCTCGAAATGCGCGTGCAAATGATTATCTTCGATTATCGTCGGTCAGGGTTTTCGCAAAGATTTATCTTTATTTCAATTTCCAGATGAATGCCTGGGGAAAGGCATTTTCAAGCTACTAATCATTAGAAGCCAAACCAGAAATGGCGAGTGGCGTTTGAAAAAAAGTATAAAGGAAACGCTCTTGATCATCAATAAAATTATATCACTGCACCATGTGAAAAAAATTTTTTTCCAAATGAGGTTTTGTTGAATTTTTGGCGAAGTTTGGGGGTTTTCGGCATTTTACTGGTTGGGACAGATATTTACCAATTCTGGATTGCTCACCACTCTTCTTTTCTATTTTTATTATCATTTGCGGTTGTTGTATTGTTGCCTTACTTGAACTGCATCATAGGATAACTGTGATGGGAATTGCTCAGGAATATATTTTTAAATGGTTTTATTTTATGAAAAAAACTCGGCACATATTATATATTATCAGCATGTAACATGTTGAGCAAATAAAACACAGTTTTTTTCATTTTTTTTTATTTTTATGGTTCTGAATAAAAAAATTTTTTAATTTTTCATGATAATTTACTTATTTTCTTCATTTTCGAATTTTTTGTTGGCAATTTTTCAATACTTCGAATGAGTTAGCCCATATTTGACGTCAGCGAAACAAGGAATAAGAATCTTGTTAGTTGCTGAATAAGATCCATTTAATCCATTTATTAAAATATCTAAAATATCTAATAGTCGAGTTTAAAAATTAAAAAAAAAAAATGGTTGGCTTTTCTGGTCAAGCTCGTTTCATTAGCCGTAAGTGGGATATGGCAATTTTTGCAAAGTCTCACATGAGAATAAAATAGAATTACAATGGAATAGAAATACAAATGGCCCCCTGCACTAGCTCGATTTGCATTTGCTCCTGCTAGTGGTAGTGGTTGAACCATGATGCCTGTGATAAGAACTCGCTATTCTATCGTACAATTATCAATTATTGAATTAAAAATGATGCACGACGGACAAAACGAGAATTAATTTGTTGGATGCACTAAATTCGTTCTTTTATTTAGACAATAATAAATTTCCAAAATTATTTTTATTCACTTAGTTCCCCATTGTTATTAATTGTTAATTGTTTATTTCCTTAATTTTTGTATTATTTCCTTAATTTATATGAACTCGCATCAGTTAGAATTAAATATCTTATAATTCTATCTATGGAAATATAACTTTCATAACAATTTGGAAGAATAATTATTTCGAGCATCGTGGTCAGTTTCAGCAAAAGGAAACCAGTTAGTAAAGAAATCCGAATGAAAGCCAGTCGCCATAGCTATTTGTGTAACCAGATAACTGCATGGCATAGCTGCATCCTTCAAATCCCATCAGAAATTTTTTTTTTACGAGTCCTCACCATTACTGGTCAAACTCGCTCCACTGGCTTGTCGCATTTGGCAATATGCCAGGGAGTCCATTGGTAATAGAAATGCACATGAGTCACCAGTATCACCTGGATTTTTGCACAAGTTTACTTCCGCGGGGAATCGAACCTTAGCAACCCCAACTAAGCACCAACCCACTGAGCCATTCTATGACCAATCCCATCAGAAATGATGGCTCCTGAATAATTTTTTTACTTCTTACTTGAAGAATAAAGCAAGTTTATGAAAATTTATGACCAAATTGTCCAAAAAATGCAGATTATCAGTTGAGGATTGAGCCAGTCTCTGCCTTCGTAATATTTTGATATTTATTTCATTTCATATTGTTAATTGGGATGTCTAAAATCGTACGAGCTTTATTTTTATTTCTTCAAAATTCTTTAAAAATCTTTTTCGCAAAAATATGGCCTAAATTAATGTTGGCTTTTTTATATTCGTTCATTCATCATAAATCAGACTTCATCTGGCAAAAGTTAATCAGTCATTTGAAAAATTCATTTGGTATATTCACCTTTATTCCCCAATCGACTCTCCGATAAAAATGTCTTATCCCGCTAAAAGCCAACAAAGTGAACTTAGCTCGAAATGACAACCACTGTGCTAACCATTTACTTGTTTACTTATATCTGAAGAGATAAATGAGTCAAAAAGTTTTTTAGAAATAAATTTTTTAGAATTAAAAAATTTTAATTAAGAAGTTTTAAAAGAAAAAAAAGAATTTAATCTCTTTCGCTAAATTTTACGAAATGTTTCTGTGAAATAATTATTGTTAATTGCTAATTGTAGACAGGATCGTCGATTGGTTGTGGCTAAATTAACCTAGCAAGCGTCAAGACTGCCCTGTAACACTAGTAAGCCCACCATTAAAAAATGTTGACAGCACCGATTATCCACCTTCATCGCCTTAAGTTTAGATTCAAAAAATTCCCCTTTATTCTGCTTTTTTACTTCTTTTTTTATTTCTTATTTTTATTTTACTTGCCGCCGAGTAATTTTCTTCCGAAAATCCTAATAAGCTAGTAGGAATGAACTTAACGAGAACTGAGTAAGCGCCAATCGCTTCTTTTACTTTATGGCAACTAGTATTTATATATTATTTAACTTATTTTATTAATTTAATACGCTATTAATTTATAATCTTTCTACAATCCCATATAAAATAAGAAATACGAATGAAATTTGCAATCGTTGCAACAACTATAAGCTATTTGAAGAAAATGTTTCATTTTTTTATAAATGGCAATCCTATTTGGCAAAATATAGGTTCGGACTCAAATCACCTTTCAACCATTGGTGTTTTTGCATTTCCTTAAAAGAATCTCGCCTAGCAACTAAAACATCCATTTAATTCTTCTATAATAAAATAAATACTTTTGCTCATTTTCATTTTTTTTCATCTCATATTTATAACTTTGCTATATATAATTTGTATTTTCACTGGCTTCGCTCACATTATAATGGCAAAAATCATTAGTCAAGTGATTAATTTAACATTTCTGATTAGACTGGCTCTGCTGGTCACACGATTAGATATTTTTATCAAAGAGTTATTTGGCGATAGAAATACAAGTGGGTCACCAGCGCCAACTGAGTTTTTTAAAGATTCGTGCCCTACTGCACAATATTTAATCAAGCATAGACTTAGCTAAAGTAATTAAAATTTTAA